TAGGGATGGTGTTGGGCAAATGCAGACTCTTAGACAGGGAGTTAAATAATGTTATATAATTTGCTTTGACATAAAGGTGCAATTTAAAATTTCGAGGGGATAGAATTAAATTCCGGGCTTACATAATCATGATGCTCCTAAATGAACCAAAAATCTGTATCACAAGATTCCAGTTCATCCTTTATAAAAGTTCCTTGCCAAATCCTTAGACTCATTAGTTCCTGTCATAGAGTGTCAAAAATGGGAATCGACAGCTCACACCTGCCTTGTAATGAAGCTTACTTGGAGGGCAGAGAGTTCTGCACAAATGCCCTTCCGTCATGTTCTGCATGGAGAAAGCTAATCTCTAGAGTGTCGCAAAGAGCAATTCTAGGTCCAGAGCTATTTCTGACATGTCGAATAACTTGGGCTTCCCAATGCCTCTCTACGTAGAAGACATATAGAGGTGGTAACGAGGAAGAATCGACCAAATTTCAGAAAAACTTGAACAATGGGGAGGACTGAGTCAAAGAAAATAGGTTAGCGTTCAACATTAGTAAATATCCGGTAACTTTTATCAGTCTAGTAAGGGTGACCATATCGCTAATGTTCAAATGACCCCTTCCACAAATGGATTTTCACACACTTGTACGAGACACATTTACGGGTATATTTTTAAATTAACAGTGTCATTTAGATACTCCTCTCGCACACTTTTATCTAACTCAGAATCAGAGTTACTGCATCTCAGAAAACAAATAGTTTATTGCCAGAAGCAGCCTATGAGAGAGGTACTGTCGGAGAGATAATATGATATCCCCTTTGGTGACAGTAAAGGGGCTACTCATTTAAGGGTAGCAATAAATGTAGTGACTGATTTTCTTTCCCTTCTGTTTCGTCACCTATGAAATTCATTTCCAGCCTGAGGCAAATGCTACATCAGTCAGTTGCTTAGAGCAAAGGTAGGACCATCACTCAAGAACAATGGGTCCATGTTCAATCAAGCAGGAGGTAAACTAATTCTCGGGGGGTCACACTGGCACCATAAATATCTCACTTGTTTCTATATACTTCAATGATAATAATAATTTATATTTCGTACAAACTAGTGTTTACAATAAAAGCATCCTATTTTTACGGGTTAAATCAGGTATGTTACAAATTACAATCTTGAAGTATCATAAATTATTACTTTCTCAAAAGTTTAAATTGTTCGATTACTGTACAGGCAACCGGAACAGGTTCTTATAAATGTTAAATTGTAAACTCTTTACTAAGGTCACCACCAAAGTTGAGCGACAACCCAAAATTCGTTCCGTTTCCTGCTGATAGTTACGGCCAACCGATAAATAACATATATTTGGGTATGTGCTATGCCCCCACGTGAGTGAACTCTATTCCAGGAAGAGAAGAACCTCCCAGGAAGCTACAAAATGGTATTAATGTAATTATGGATAATGCATCAAGGGGAGTACATTTACAAGATAAATACAAGAATGAGCTGTCGAGTACTTGGAATGATAGTACACATTTGTAATGTTCAATGCCAACCATATTGGTCTTATCCTAGAAAAAGGGGCATTTTTGATGAAAATATAGTTAAAAACACAGTTTTTTGTTCAGCAAAGAAATTTCTTTTCAACGACTTTATTTTCAAGCTGTACAGTCGAATTTATATTACGGAAAAGGTTATTAAGTGGCACTAAATAGGTGCTCAGTCAATATACATATATGTGATAAGAATAACGATAATTAAAATGTTTTTTGATTTACAGCTTGATTCCACACCGTATTTTCAGTACAAGTATGGAATTTTCAGCATGGATATCGGTAGCCCAAATTCAGGCCGACCATAGATATCGGGTGTGCGCCGGCAGGGGATCGAACCCCGGACCATGTGCATGGTCGGCGAGAGTCCTAACCACTGTGCCACCGACCACATAAGGGGCAGAGTTGAAGTGGATGAATTACAAAATTATTAAAGATTGTTTCATGAGTGAACTGATATCCAAAAACATTGTTTTTTCAATGACAAGCGTTGTCTAAAAATTTTAAAAATTAGGAGTACGATTACGATAAGAATGAAGATGTGAAGTGAAGTGGAAAGAATTCAAGTGGTAAAATAAAATACAGTAAAAACTAGAAAGAACATAACTATGACCAAGGTAAAGAAAGGGGTTTGACAAAACGTTTTTGAACACATAATTTAGGTTTCTGTTCATGTATAGCTAAAGCTTCGGCTGTGCATAAGTGAAGAAAACGTAAACTTTTGGATCGATTCGATTTTGCCGCGTAGATAACTTTGAAAGATGAATCACGTGGGGCTAAATGACCTGACTCCAACAGGTGATCACAGAAAGACGACTTCGCAGTTCTACGTTCGCCTTTCATTAACCAGACTGGATAGTGTTCAGCTACATGTTTTCGGAGATTACGCTCACAACGTCCAATATAAACAGCTCCACAAGAGCAGGTAAAAGAGTAAATACACATGGATGTGGACAAAAGCGGTAATTTATCCTTGACGCATTGTCTAATCATATTTCGGCTAGTAAAAACTAGTTGCTAATCAGCTGCAGGAAAAGTACATTTAATATATTTAGATAAACGACTCTTAATCAATTCCGAAATGGTGTCACCTTTGAATTCGTTACGTTCGATAAACCTTGTAGAATAACATTTGTTAAGGAGATTTGATCGAAGGTTATCTAGTTCACCATCGATTGTCTCTGCATAGCAGATTTTACGAGTTCTGGAGCATAAGGAATGAATAAGATTTCTCTTTCTCCCTAATGGTACCCAACTGTTGAAGTTAGTGTACCGCCCAGTGAATGTTGGCTTTCGGTAAATCGACCTTAACAGCGTGCCATTCTTTCTCCTATCTAGCTTAACATCAAGGAAGTCAAATGAGGAATTCGACTCTTTTTCGACCGTGAAAAGTAAAGATGGGTGAGAACCATTAAATATTCCAAGAAGTTCGGCAGTTGATCTTTTAATTATCGTTATTCTTATCACATATATGTATATTGATTGAGCATCTATTTAGTGCCACTTAATAACCTTTTCCGTAATATAAATTCGACTGTACAGCTTGAAAATAAAGTCATTGAAAAGAAATTTCTTCGCTGAACAAAATACTGTGATTTTACCAATGAATAAATGTGTATTTTTCGTGATGAAAATATAGTTATTCCCAAACATGGGTGTTGCTGCTATGTTTTTCTTCATAAAATGAACCAGACTTCAAGTTAGCGAATAGAGTGAATTTCAGCTTTATTAAAGGCCTAGGGAGCTGAGATATAAAAGAGTACAGTAGTAATCAGATAAAAGGATTGTCGTGAAGCATATAAGGGACATTTCAGAGAGAGGTGGCCCGAAAGATTAGAAGCTGTAAAATGTCTGGCGATTTTGCGTATGGCCCATGGGTTAGCATCTTAACAAGAAGCTGATCAGGCTTGTAGATGTTAGGATCAAAAGCATGTTTTTATAATTTAGATCTGTGCAGTCATTATTGTTTTTTATATGTTTTTGAAGTTAATATTTTATATTGGGGATCTAAACTAATGTTTAATTCTCGAGCTGTCAAAAATGCATGTTGCTGCTATACAGATCGGAGCGATTTACATTTGTCACCGCTACCATATCTGCTGATCAGCACACGCCACCACGACCCTACCAGCTTTGCTCTGTTTTATCTTTTTGTCGTCCTCACCGCCTTAAGTGTTTTTCATTGAATCCCTTGTCCTACATCTCTACCATTCTGTGTACTCATTCTCTAGATTTCCCTTCATCTTCTTAATGTCTCCGTTTCTAAAGCGTTTGATAAGTTGACATTGGTAAAAAATTATATTTGTAAAATTTCAGCGAAATTGAAATGATTAATTCCAACGTTTCGTTCGGCAATCTGGTCCGAACTTCTTCAGAGAAATTAATGGAAATTAACATAAGAGGTTTATATATAAAAGGAATATCTCTTGTTTTTTGAAACTTTGTCCAATCATAAGTCACAAGTCAGGTATCAGCAGGTATAATAAATAAAAATTGTATGAATTCTGATCATAATTTGACCTCGGACTTTCAAACATTAGTCTACTTTTGTTAAAACATATATGTGTATATGCAGTATACAACGGTGTGTATGTGTGCGTGGGTGAACACCCATAAAATTTGGTTTGTTCCCCCATAAGAAGACGTAGACAATCGGGAAATTTGACCAAGTATGACTGATTGTTGATGCATATCCAATTTTTATTTATTAGTCAGGATTTGTCATGCATCAGCTAACATCACACCTTCACGTCTGTTCAAACTGTTGGGATTCACCCATATATGCAGGGCTTCTGCAGCCAGTCTTTCTTTACATGAACCAAAACCTTTCTGTAGAACCTTAGTCCTATCAAAGTCGATTTTTTTCCCGTTTCTATCGAATGCAGTACAATCGCTGAGTTGTTTTATAGCTTCTTCATGTCTGCAGAGGTCTTAGGAACCACCTTTAGACATTGTTAAAGCTCTTTCACTCTTATAATTACCTGTCTGAAAGTTTCTCCTACATATACGGCATTACAATCCTCACAGCTGCAAACAACATATATTTGGGTAAGTGCTATGCCCCCACGTGATTAAACTTTATTCCATGGAGAGAAGAACCTCGTAGGAAGCTACTAAATTGTATAATCTTGATCACATTTCATATGAATGTTGGATAATTTGGGCGTACTATTGCTTGGAGCAACGAAACTCATCAATTCCACGAGCACCACTGTTCTTTCGAGAGTCATTAATTTCGTCAGACTGCGTTCAACAAAGCTGCAGCTATCGAGGGAATAGATTATACTGGAATCCAGTTGTGACCTACAACCATTCCAAAACTTCAAGGAGTATCCCCAACAAAAAAATCATAATTAATTATACAGTGCATCAAAATAATACTGGAGTTTGAATTCATATTCAGCGACAAGGCGGTAAAATGTTCAAAATACTCTATCCCTCAACACTCCAACTGAATATTGTTTTAACACATCATTTGAAGGACATTGGATGATTTTGCGTCCTACAGAGGTTGTTCTTTGCTGGAAAAGGTTTAGTTCTTCCTTTGGATTCTTTTAATGGGTTTAATTTCAACACTGTTATTTGTAGAGAACACTATGCAAAGGTAAGCTGAAGACAACACGGCAAAGTTAAACTTTAAGCACCAACGGACAAATGATCTTGAACGCACCAACCACATGCATGATAAAGGCGATTTGTGCGTATAAAATACATATATTTAAAAAAGTAATGAATTAAATAGCATGAAACTGTTACAAAGGATACCTTTCTCTCATGTGTTTTGTATTGAAGTATTGACGGAGTATATAACCATCCAGCCATAGCGTTCACTTCGGGCGCATTGCAGAAACTTCGCGGCAGAATGCAGATTACTCCCACGTTCTGCAATGCACCCGAAGCTTATTGCTCATGAATATAATGCTGGATGGGTATATTTCATGCATGTAATTATCTAGGTCTTCTAACCATAACAATAACCCTCATCTTTCCTTTACCTAGTCTTGATTTTTATCAATGATTTACCATGCCGCCTTAGCTGCCCGACTCTTCTATACGCTGACGACGTGAAGATATGGAGGGCGATAAAGTGCCCGGAGGACTCAGATAGGCTACATGAAGTTGTCAACCTTCCGGAAGACTCGGCGGTGGCCAGTGGCATGACTTTCAACCTGAAAAGGTGCAAGGTAGTGAAGTTACGCACCTGTAGACTGCAGAATGCAAGTTACACTCTGTGCAATGAAAGCTTGTCCTGCTCAACGTCGGAACGTGACTTAGGTCTAGTTCTAACGGAGAAAATGGACACAAGCGTATATTACACGGGGGATGTAGCGAGGGCATATGCGGTCATACACTTTACACATAGACAATTAGGTGCACCCACTCCTGAGCTCTTTCTAAGGTTGTATAAAACATACGTCAGACCGCATCTTGAAGTGCATAATATCATTGCACCTCCACTGCTTAAAAGAGACGCCAACCTCTTGGAAAGAGTCCAACGATGGGCAACAAAAGGAGTGGTTGGTCTCCTAAATAAACCATATGATGAAAGGCTGAAGAAATTAGGCCTATTCACACTCAGTTACCGTCGCCTTAGGGGGGATTTAATTACTGCCTACAAAATAACAAATGATCAGAATCACCCAAACAAAGGTGTTCTGCCATTGAGTAGGTATAGGCTCCTCGTGGAAATCCTAGAAGGATAGCTCATCAGAGGGCAAGGACCCGGCCGCGCTCCCACTTCTTTTCCCTGCGGGTTTGCCGTCCCTGGAATTCCTTACTGGCAGATGTAGCTATGGCACCATCTGTGGACGCCTTTAAGCGAAGGCTGGACAACCATGCAGCGACACAAGGACTTCATCCAAATGGTCTATACCCTTAAAATCGCATACACCATTCAAAGGTAGACAATTAAACTGGCCGTTTTACTTCTTTACATTCTCTTCAGTCTTACTCTCCTGACAGCTTTAACTACACTTATTATTATTATCATTATTATTGGTATATATATATATATATATATATATATATACCGGTTGACTGACTGTTGTTACGTTTTCTTATTCTTTTTCTGTCTGTTAGTCTGAATACCCTCACTAATTATATCTATTATTTTACGAGTTGATCACGGACTGATATCAGTTAGAGAACCATTGAAAACCAGGGAGTACTGGACAGCTGCTGTTTCATCCTAGTTTGGGAATCATCGGCAGTACGCACCCACTGGGATTCGAACCCAGGACCTTCCGGTTACAAGGCAAGCTCGTATACCATTCAGCCACTGGGACCCGATTCAATGGCTGATGAATTCTAACTTCTACCAATTCGTGATTTTAGCGCGACCCCAACTATTTTCGTTGGTGGGACATCCATCCACACACGTGACTTCTAATTGGACCTCACTGGTCACGACTTCTCACCAGAACTCCAGGGAGCTCCAACCTGAAGCAAGTCACTAGCGAGCATCAGAATAATTTTCTAACGACAATAGTTGGGGTCGCGCTAAAATCACGAATTGGTAGAAGTTAGAATTCATCAGCCATTGAATCGGGTCCCAGTGGCTGAATGGTATACGAGCTTGCCTTGTAACCGGAAGGTCCTGGGTTCGAATCCCAGTGGGTGCGTACTGCCGATGATTCCCAAACTAGGATGAAACAGCAGCTGTCCAGTACTCCCTGGTTTTCAATGGTTCTCTAACTGATATCAGTCCGTGATCAACTCGTAAAACATAACTAATCCTTACAAACCAAACTTTAGAAAATATCTATTATTATTATCTCTTTTCTATTGACGACGATACCGAAGGACCAACTGGTGAAAGGATCAACTCCATTCACAGTAGTAACAGTCTTAACACACCTCATACCACAAACCAAATATAATTAATCCCTGCACTACTCCTTTTGGAGTCAACCAAAGCTGCAACAGTCGAGTGGCGGGACGAGCTACGCAGACGTTTACCGAAGATCAGGAACCTCTACCTCACAATCAAGGGGCGAGCACAAAGAAATCAAATTGGTTTATACTAGCTCGTAAAAACGATATTGGATATTGGAACGTGTAAATATCTTTAAATTAAACCTGATCTAGCTCAAACTAGTCCTAATGTCGCCCTCAATATGTTAACCTAGCCCTAACTTGTCCTTAGCCTAAACCTTAACTTAATCTTTCCCAAACTTAACGCGTATCTTGCTAGATATCCCGTTTAGCCGCATAACACATATTAAGCATATTTTATTCATGAGTGCAATATTATTTATCAGGTTTCGCTAACGTGCTCACTGAGCGTCTTAAGGTCATCGGTGCAGTCGCGTTCCGCCGGTATTCACTGGTGCTTAAAGTTTAACTTAGTCGATAACATGGTTATGTGCAACCAAGACTGTATGAACATTTTTGCTTAAGCAATACTTATCCTAACAAATGCTGTACTTTGGTCTTCTTTGTGATTTCAAATGAGTGCGTATTCATTTAATTGCTTTTAAAGTAATGTGTGGCGAAACTAATTTCAGAAATAACTAGTGTTATTGGTACACGAAAGGATACCCTTCCCTTCTGTTATGTCGCTATGTAGACCTGTTATTTAAAGTTCATTCTTGCAACTCTAAAATGTGTTTCAGTAAAAAGCTAATGTAGTGGGGGGATTTTTGTGCTTCCATGAAAATGCATACATTATCTTAACATTGCAAATTTGAATGGAACGCATCGTACATTATTTGTCAGATTTAAACACAGTAGAGGAATTGTAAAGTACTTGTCACTAGTAAGTTTTACCACAACACTTTATAAGGGTCTGCGTCGCTTTAATAAGCGCATCCTACTTCAAAATCGTGGAGTCTATGACTGCACGTCATCCGATTAGATCTTGCTCGTATGCAGTTTCTCCGTGTCCGACATCGCACGCGACAAGATGTCATATAGGGAGCAAGTTACTTTCTGTGTCGTTTTATGCTCATAGTTGGACCACTTAACATATCTTCAGGCTGAGTTGCCATGGGATTGCGTCTTCTTCCAGAGATTTTAGGTCTGCCTGCAACTTGTATGAGTCTCTTTTACTGCTCTCGAAAGCATTATATCTTCAAAGTAAAGAAGCACTAGGCAGTTTTGGCGGCGTGGCATTAAGATATTAAGATCCCTAGGACTGAACCATGTGGGACTCCTGAGGCTAGAATGTACTAAGATGATTGGACAAGGTTGACTCTTTGTATGGAATCCTCTTCCATCTTGTTAGTTTGCAAGCCGTTAGAGAAGTGCACTAGCAGTACTTACCTGACCTATTTTGAGGAAAAATATCAAACTGAAAAGTGTCAAATTCCACTATGTTTAAAATTCATTTTGATAAAGTCTCAGTGTTATACAGTAATATTTACTGATGACGTTTCACCCATAATTTATTGTTCATAATCCTATCAATGTATCAAATGCCTTCACAAAATGAGGAGAGACCACATATACTGGGACATTATATCCTAGCATGATTTCCAGTTACTTCATGCTAATCGCTGATTAGTTGCATAGGATATATTTCCAGAAATCATATTGTACTTCATGGTGTATGCTGTTCCCGTCAAGATGTCTCATGACACGGTCGTCACCTGGGCTTTCCAATACCTGTGATACAACCAGGAGTAATGTCACTGGTCCACAATTTTTCGTATTTTCCTGGTGGTTCTCTTCCACTCCAAGAGTCTATGGAATTCTTGAAAGGGTCATATAATTGCCTGAGGAAGACTTCTGTGTATTATTTCAAAACTAAATGCCGAATGTCGTCGCAACCGGAGGACATTCTTTGATTGGTTTTAAGAGTTTAATCATGACCGTTGGGGTTTAGTGTGATGGTAATCCCCACTACGCTGTTTATTCCTGTTAGGGGTTGAACAGAATGTTTCAGCCACTTCTATACATACCAGTGAGAATCTGTCTGTTTAGGTCTTTTAAGGCGTATGTTTCCTGGTTGGTTTGTTTTCCTGTTGACATAAGTTAGTGTGTGTTTTTGGGATTTGCCGGCAGTTTCTCCGCAAAATTACAAAAACGATGAGAATATGTGGTAGATGGATAACTTTTGTGAGCTGATGGGTGCATGCTAACAATTTTTTAAAGTTTTGTGTGACCAGAAAGTAAACAGTTTTTGGATTTCGTGGAGTTTCAATGCCACAGGAAATATGAAATGCCACATGATATGTACAATTTTCAGGGTTGACCTTCTGTAACCATTTCTGTCTATAGTTGAATAATCAACTTACTCGTCTTCTGAGGAAAGTACTTTACAGACTTTTGAGTGATTGACTGGTTTCAACGTAGAACTTCACCGATTTGCACCAGCTCGAGCTGCCACACTCCGTGTAGCACACAAAGAGAAACGAGTAAAGATAGATAATAAACTAAAGTGTGAATGAGGCAAAGAGAATAGTAATACGGAAGAACAATAGAATTTTATCGGACATTATAAGTCACAAAGAGTGAACACATCTGCTTCAGACTTCACACCTATCTTCTACAGTTCGATTTTAGTCGAACACTTACATTGTGCAAGTACCTTGTACTTTGTTCACCGTTTTTAGTAATGCTCGAATAGATAATGTATCCACATATGGTGCAGTCTGATGAAGTCTTACAGGCCAGATGTGACAGTTTTGGCTGGTTAGGTTTATCATATTTGACAAATTATTCATCAACGGTTTCCTAAATCTTTGTTCTTCCGTAAGTCGCTGTTTTAATTTATTGTTTGTGATCAGTTAATTCATAACTTCTCACACAATATTTTCCACGCTCCCTGTAAATTGTATTCAAACTTGTTAACTATGGAGTGGATTGGAGAAGCTGCTTTTTCAGCCGTATTCATGTATTACTCTGTTTGCCTAATGTCGTTTCACTTTATGCTGTCCATTTTTTTCCTTCTGAGGTTGGTTGGTTCTGTTCATAAATGTAAAAGCAACAAAGTTTGTGAATGTGAATAAGTGTAGATTTATCCAGTGTGTCATTCTAAGAATTCATCAGTTTCATCAACAAGTTGGAAGTTCGGAAACCTATCATCACTATTCTTGTTTCTTCCTTAATTTGATCGTAATTGATATTTTATTGTAGATTCTGGCCACTGTTTCCAACGACGCCAATTTTTCTCAAATCAGCCCATACCAATTTCCAAAGCATGAAGTTCAATGTTTGTTTTGTTTTGGGAGGACCAGGTGCTGGGAAAGGCACAGTGTGTCAGCAAATAGTACAAGTCAGTATACCATTGCTAGTAGCATTTATTGTCATTATTTTTCCCTGAGATTCTAAAACATAGGCATTCTTACCGGCGTCCAACAATCATTATATTTCTTGACCTAAAGGCGGCATTCGATTCTGTCGACCGAGAGGTTCTCTGGCGATGCTGAGAAAATACATTGCACTGATTAAGGCACTCTACTCGTACTCATGCAGCCAGGTGAGGGCTTATGGCGAGTTGTCATCTGAAGTGGTGACGACTAGTGGCGTCCGTCAAGGGTGCCCATTATCCCCATTCCTATTCAACTTCACCATAGACGTACTAATGGACTTAACCCTAACACACTTCAGCGACTCAGGGATTGACTTGCTACCAGGGAATAATCTCGTTGACTTAGAATATGCGGACGATATAGTCCTTCAAGGCGAGGACTCTGACAAAATGCAGAGTCTACTGAACACCTTGAGCAACAATCTTCGTATGTTTGGCATGCGATTCGTCCCTGTAAAATGTAAGATGATGCTGCAGGATTGGACTTCACCGACTCCTAGATTAGAAATAGGAAGTGAAGTGGTAGAACACGTTGACTGCTTCAATTACTTGGGAAGTACCATCAGCTCGAACGGGTTGATCTCAGACGAAATTTCAGCACGAATACAGAGGGCTAGGTTCACATACGCCAGTTTACGCCGTCTCTGGCGTAGACGTGATATCCGACTATCGACCAAAGGGCGTGTGTACTGCTCAACAGTCCGCTCCGTCCTCCTTTATGGCTGTTAGACCTGGCCATTGAGAGCAGAGGACATGAAAAGATTAGATGTCTTTGATCATAGGTGTCTGCGTTCTATCTCTCGCGTGAAGTGGTATAATAAGGTGAGCAATATTGAGGTTAGGCGTCGAGTGCTAGGTAAGGCGGGGAAATCAATCGACGAAACTGTGAAATCACTTCGACTGAGATGGTTAGGACATGTGCTACGTATGCCTGGTCATCGCCTTCCTCGACGGGCAATGTTAGCTGATATAGGGCCAGGCTGGAAAAGAGCTAGCGGCGGTCAAACGAAAACATGGCACCAGTCAATGAAATCCACAACAGTTAGTCTAAGCCACGTAGGAAGGTGTAGACTTCCTGGTTGATTGGGGTCCTCGGGACGGTAAAATCCAATGGTTGGAAACAATTGGTGACATGGCTCAAAATCGTTCTCAGTGGCGCAGATGCATCCACTCCTTGTGACTTATGATTTCCAATTAAACTGTTTTGTTCTCCGTTATTACTATTCCTTTGTCTCACACCTCTGTTTACTGTCTATATTATGCATTTCTTCTACTTTCTTCTCTTGCTTTGTGTGCCACATGGAGTGTGGCGACTTGAACTGCCGCACATCGGTGCAAAGTTCTATGTCGAATACATATAGATAGATAGATTTTTCCTTGAATTCTTGAAATGTGGCAACACTGGATTTCGCAATGTTCTATATTGATGACAGCATCCGCAAACATTAGTAGCTAAATGCGCAATACAGCATAAAAATGTTAAATCATTTCGTTTCATGCACACATTATATACTAGGTCAGTGCTTTGACCAGCACCCTCAAAACTAAAGAAATACATTGATTGCTATTAAGTGACCAATTTGCGTAAATATTTATTGAATCGCATATCAGGAATAAAGGTGGATAAAGTGTGAAAACGTAATGTCAAAACATGGGCGGTATTCAGAATTGGTCATTATTAAACTCGGAAAGACGAAGATTGTTCGTAAGAGTAAAAGATTCGAAATATATATAAAGTATTTTTCAGAGTTAACGGTTTGATAAAAGCGAATGAAGATGGATTACACATAAATTTACTGTACAGGTGAAAGATGATTTAAGGTAACGGTGGCGAAAGGGATTAAACAAACTGCTTTTATACACACCCTACGAGGTTTTCTTTTGTATAATAAGAGCTTCCGCTGTGGATGGAAGTTCCAGCATTTGAGCGACATAATCTTATCATTTATCACTTTGAAAGATTTCTCTGTTAAGAAAAATAGTGTGTGAAAACAGTGTTCACGAATCGAACTGTTGTTTGATTTAATTAATCCACTTAGCAACCTTGTTGGGAGAGGTTCTTGTGCAGACCTAGACACCATCCTATTGTTATCGGCTTATGTACTTAGCTCCCCAGAAGCAGGTGAACTGAGTGTTTTTAACAGTGTCTTCGATATTGCGTGGTAGAAGTGAAAATTAAAGACAGTGAGGAATGCTTTGCGGACTGCTCTCAATAATCTGTTACAAAGAATTTTAGCCGCTGTATCACCTCTGAAGTTTAGATTTATAAATCTCTTGTAGATCTTGAGCTGATTTATAAATGATTGTAGGGTACTTGATTCTAAGTATGCTATAAAGCAGTCAGCAAGTAATCGAGTGTGCACAATTAATGTGCAACTGCTATGAATTGGTGAAATATATCGATAGGCGGCGAAGTATCCATGTGATCTCCGCTTGGTCCATTACAGGAGTGCAGAAACAGCACACCTGATAAAATAAACAATATGCAGACATAGATTGAAGTGTATGTCAAGCATTCTGTCTGGTGATGGTGTGAATTTTTCCGGATGTTCTTGTAGTGATGTTTAACTCGAAATTACGCGTCGAGTGAATAAATTAGTCTATTTAACTTGTGATATCAGTTAAAGAATTTTAGATGGGTAACATCAATTATTTTTTTCTTCATGATGTTCTTTTTCCTCCCTAATTTGTCATAGGTAGTGATATTCTCCTTATTATAATTACTTTGTAATCTAAATTTTGTAAATAAAATGGTGATTCCGAATAAAGTTATTGTCATTACTATTACTACCACCACTTTTGTTAATTTGCTTTAGGAGTATGGATACACGCATTTATCTGCGGGTGAATTACTTCGACAAGCTCGTGACTCATCAGACTCTGAATTTGCTAACAAAATACAAATGCATATGAAGAATGGAACAATAGTGCCGGCGAAAATAACTTGCGGCTTGTTATATCAAGTTAGTGTGTAGCATTTTTATAATTGAGTTATTTTTTTATCTCGAACAAGATTGTTTTGTTCTGTGCGCGGTTCTCATAAACGTGAACTTTCAATAGAAAGAAATTTTAGTGTGTGTGTGTGTGTGTGTGTTAGGAATCTTATCATTATGACACCAGTTGAAAAAGCTACCGGAAGAGTATAGGACCATTACAGAGTTGTTTCATTCTAGTTTGTAATAATTAGTTAGTGTACACACTCATGACCTTAAGGTGAGATCCAGAAGCGCTAGTTAGTGTTTAACTAGTAAATCAAAATCCTGTCAAATTCCTGCAATTCTCAGTATATCGCCATTACTGTGAAACTTGAAGGACCTCAACATTCTCAACCGAGTATCACAAATATCTTTTGCAATTTTTTTATCCTTCACGTTCCCCAGTGGAACATAGGGCTTCAAGCTAGAGGCTTGAAGTTTCTGTAGCAGTGTTTATTTTTACAGGATGGGGGTGCTAGCCTCATGCCCAACCTTTCCTCTTCAGCAGCTTTAGTTCTGGCTAAGCGAGGTAAAGGAGTGCGTCCAGTGGCCGGGGATCGAACCCCGGACCATGTGGATGGTCGGCGAGCGTCCTAACCGCTATGCCATCGACGCACATCTTTTGCAGTTAGTCAGGAATATTCTTAACCCTAACGTTAAAAAAGAAATAGTCAGAAATTTAATGCGTTGTAAGAGTAAATTTTATTGTTTACTGAACAGTAATCTAAGCACCTTATTCCAGTGTTTCGGTAAGAAGATGGGGACTTTGAAAGCCAACCATAACACCTTAAGTTAGTAGTAGGATGCATAAAAATCAAATATGGGCACAAGCATATGAATTTCAAGCAGATTCGTGTTTAAATTATCCATCTTTTATTATCGACATCATTGGCTGAAAGTATTTCCGTTAAAGGGTTCTAGGATCTGCTGTTTTTTTCCGTTATGGTAGCTGTTGCAAGGTTAAGATAGAAAGTTTTATAGGATTGTCGAAATAAAAAGCTGGGCCACGAAGCAACATCACTTAGAGATCATTGAGAAGCAGGGATTACTGGACAGCCATTTCGTTCTTGTTTGGCATTCATTGTTGGTACTCATCTATGAACCTGAGAAGGATCGGATGCAAGAATTTCAGGTTACAGAGTGAACTCGTTAACCATTCAGCCATTGTGACGGAATCCAGTGACCAGCCTATGAATTCTAACTCCTTTCATTTCGCGATATATGACGTGACCGCCAGCCAGTTTCATCACCTAGTATTTATCCTCGTCGCAGGTATTCATCACTTCTCACTAGAACTTCAGGCAACTTTATCCTGTAGTTAGTCACTAGTGAACATCTAAACATGAACGAAACAGCTGTCCAGTACTCTGAGGTTTTCAGTGATTCTCTCACTGAAGTCAGTTGTTGATCAAACTTGAAAGCAATGAAATCCATGCACACCATTTGTTTAAACAGAAAGCGGCACCAGTATGTGTGTATACAACTTTTAATCCAAATCATTTTTGAAACCATATAATTTTTGTAAAAAATGCAAAATATAAGTTGAACCAATAATTTGGGTCACAAATGTACTCGTATGTGTGTTATGTTCTAGTACATTTCACCTGTCTTAGGTCGTTGGTCGGAGATTTTTCATTCTATTACTTTTTTTAGTTGGTCTTTCACTTCACTTCACTCAAACATCAACAATGTTTGAAAGCTTAAATTTAACTTAGTTATATGATTGTCCGCCTGGTGTACATTGTCACACACTTATCTCATTGGTATCTGGGCATTTCAGTCATCCAAAGCATATCAGTTTTAATGAGTCGACATATTTTGTATCAGTGTAAACGGCTAGATAAAATTACTTATTAAAAGAAGCGAGAAAATGAATATCTTGTAATGACATTCCATCAAGAATAATGCTGATCAACACAAATAGCTGGTTGATTTGTAGGAGTTGGACACTGTTCTATTCGATAGTATTTCGCATTTGTTGCTTCTAGTTGGAGAGAAATTTTCTCCTGTTTACTGTAAGTGAATTATGTTTTTTCTCTTAGTGTATAGGATTTTCATTCATTGTTTTATTGAAGCTTCAGAACACCTAACTTGCATACAAACCATATTGTCTTCAAATCTAGTCCCGACCGAAAGCTGCTACCTTGACGTGGTGGTCGGGCTTGAACACTGCAATGACCCAACAAGCTATACTGGCTAGAACTTATGTTCCTGCAGGTCCTACCATGCCAGAAAGGTTGTTTGGATAGCAGTTAGACTAAAAGCAGTTACCCAATCCAATCCTATGATTTCAAATAAATCACAAAATATCATGCCGGATCGGTCGGGGCCCGGATTAACAACGACCGCGCTTTCTGCTGCCGTGTCACAGGGCAGAAGTGATAAATATGCTACTGAGACACACCAAATAAAAAAGAACAAACAAAAACAGGCCGCGTGTGACCGGCCTCAAACAGTTGTCCCCTGGGCTCTGCTGCCACGCAACCAACTTCCACGGTGTGGGCAGCCGGGAAGTAACAATCGCCCTCACAATCCGAAGTGCACACGAAACCTCTCTAATCCTCGCTCATCTTTGTCTTCATCTTCATCTCTATTATCTTGCCTTCCTTCTACTAATGCAACTCCTCTACTTGTTGGCTCTTCACTCTGTGTGCACTGATAACGATGGAAGCCAAAAAGCCACCATCGATAGTCTCCTAAAGCCACGCCACTAATTTCATATAGGGGCATTTAATGTTAGGACACTTTTCCAAATGGGACAACAAGCATCACTAGCCAAGACTCTGGCATCCCGAGCCATTGATGTATGTTGTGTTTCAGAAACATGCATACAAGACCCAAGTGTGGTTATTCACCTAACCCCACCTGGCCAACAGGATGAATCTGCAAAATTCACCTTGAGGGTGTCAGGAGATGCGGCGGCTAGCTCACGAGGATTAGCTGGTGTTGGGATAGCTTTGAGTACTAGAGCAGAAAAGACATTACTGGACTGTATCCCGGTAGATAGCCGAATGTGTGCTGTCCGCCTGAACGGATCAGTGAAAAGGAGAAAGGACTGCACTACCCGCCGATGCCTTTTCGTAATCTCCGCCTACGCCCCCACTGACTGCAGTTCGGATGAAACGAAGGATGAGTTCTACCAAAAGCTGTCTAGTTTGCTGCGAAAGGCTAAACGCTCAGATATAGTCGTTTTAGCTGGTGACTTTAATGCTCAAGTAGGGAAATTGTGTCAATCTGAGAAGAATGTCGGTGGCACATACGGAATTCCTTGCCAGCGAACCGACAACGGTGACCGTCTCCTATAGTTCTGTTCAGATAATCATTTGTATCTTGTAAGCACTAACTTCAAACACAAGGAGAGACACTGTTTGACCTGGCGACCCCCATCATCAAATTAACGCTGGACACAAATAGACCACATAGCAATAAGCTATCGTTGGCGTGGGTCGGTAGGAGATTGTCGCTCCTTCTGAAACACGTGTGTAGATACCGATCACGCACTGGTCCGCGCCCGTGTGTGCTTACGACTGAACGGGCGTAGGAAACAGCTGGCGGTAAACCCATCACGTCCCCAGCTCGATCAGGAAACTAAGTCCCTATTTGAGGAAGAACTAGCTAAACACATATCTGAGTTCGACAGCTGCGCTCACCCTGAAGAAGCCTGGAAGAATATTCAGTCAGCCATAGATACAGCTGTAAAAGCTGTGAATAAGGTAAATCCAAAGGTGAGTAGAAACCATTGGATTTCGACTGCCTCATCCGAACTGATAGATGCTAGAAGACTTATTCCGGCGAGCTCCGAATTCAATGAAGAGCGGAAGCTGCACAAAAAGAAACTTACGAAAAGTCTCCGCAAGGACCGTGAACAGTGGTGGTTGACAAAGGCGAAAGAGATGGAAAAAGCATCGGCGATAGGCAACACCAGACAACTCTTCAAACTCATCAGGGAAACAGGTGGTAAAAGGTAAATGATAAGCGAAACAATCTCCGAGAAAAATGGCACCATAATTAGCTCCCAGGATAGACGTCTGGAGCGCTGGAAAGAACACTATGAGGAGCAGTTTAATTGGCCCACAGCCACACTTAACCTGCCGGACATCCAACACCTCCCTGAATGGGATATAGACACAGGTCCTCCGTCCTTAACTGAGGTTACTAAAGCTGTCACTAATCTGAAGCAAGGCAAAGCAGCGGGACCTGATTTATTGACTCCAGAGGTATTTCAGTACGGTGGAGACAGTTTACTGTCTGCGTTAACGGAGGTTCTAGGCAGCGTTTGGGAATCAGAGGAAGTCCCATCGGGTTGGTGTAAGTCACTGATCATCCCGATATACAAGAAGGGAGACAAGTCTTCTTGTGATAATCACAGAGGGATTAGCTTGACTAATATAGTATCTAAAATCCTAGGCTCAATAATACTGCGTAGACTGAGTGGTGCTCGAGAGACACAAACAGGAGAAAACCAGGCAGGTTTTAGGCCAGGTAGAGGGTGTATTGATCATATCTCCACCCTTCGACAGATTCTAGAACATAGGCATTCCTACCGGCGTCCAACAATCATTATATTTCTTGACCTAAAGGCGGCATTCGATTCTGTCGACCGAGAGGTTCTCTGGCGATGCTGAGAAAATACATTGCACTGATTAAGGCACTCTACTCGTACTCATGCAGCCAGGTGAGGGCTTATGGCGAGTTGTCATCTGAAGTGGTGACGACTAGTGGCGTCCGTCAAGGGTGCCCATTATCCCCATTCCTATTCAACTTCACCATAGACGTACTAATGGACTTAACCCTAACACACTTCAGCGACTCAGGGATTGACTTGCTACCAGGGAATAATCTCGTTGACTTAGAATATGCGGACGATATAGTCCTTCAAGGCGAGGACTCTGACAAAATGCAGAGTCTACTGAACACCTTGAGCAACAATCTTCGTATGTTTGGCATGCGATTCGTCCCTGTAAAATGTAAGATGATGCTGCAGGATTGGACTTCACCGACTCCTAGATTAGAAATAGGAAGTGAAGTGGTAGAACACGTTGACTGCTTCAATTACTTGGGAAGTACCATCAGCTCGAACGGGTTGATCTCAGACGAAATTTCAGCACGAATACAGAGGGCTAGGTTCACATACGCCAGTTTACGCCGTCTCTGGCGTAGACGTGATATCCGACTATCGACCAAAGGGCGTGTGTACTGCTCAACAGTCCGCTCCGTCCTCCTTTATGGCTGTTAGACCTGGCCATTGAGAGCAGAGGACATGAAAAGATTAGATGTCTTTGATCATAGGTGTCTGCGTTCTATCTCTCGCGTGAAGTGGTATAATAAGGTGAGCAATATTGAGGTTAGGCGTCGAGTGCTAGGTAAGGCGGGGAAATCAATCGACGAAACTGTGAAATCACTTCGACTGAGATGGTTAGGACATGTGCTACGTATGCCTAGTCATCGCCTTCCTCGACGGGCAATGTTAGCTGATATAGGGCCAGGCTGGAAAAGAGCTAGCGGCGGTCAAACGAAAACATGGCACCAGTCAATGAAATCCACAACAGTTAGTCTAAGCCACGTAGGAAGGTGTAGACTTCCTGGTTGATTGGGGTCCTCGGGACGGTAAAATCCAATGGTTGGAAACAATTGGTGACATGGCTCAAAATCGTTCTCAGTGGCGCAGATGCATCCACTCCTTGTGACTTATGATTTCCAATTAAACTGTTTTGTTCTCCGTTATTACTATTCCTTTGTCTCACACCTCTGTTTACTGTCTATATTATGCATTTCTTCTACTTTCTTCTCTTGCTTTGTGTGCCACATGGAGTGTGGCGACTTGAACTGCCGCACATCGGTGTAAAGTTCTATGTCGAAAACCGACCGACCGACCGACCTTTCAATCTACTTGTAACCAGAGTCAACACCTTAGTCTCTCCCTTGACCGATATGCTGGGTGTAATTCTATGTTGATAAGTGTTTAACTTAGTCTATTAAAATGTTTGCTAAGATGTTGATCATTATATTACATTACTATATGTGTTAATCATTTTAATATCGTTATTATCATTATTATTACATAAAAGCAAACTTGATACAGTATGAGCGCCATGAGATGCGCCACACAAAAATAAAACGATAATGTAGTGAAAATCGAAATAAAATAAATGAGGGACAACAAGTAATCATACTTAGCAAGCGCATTCAAAAAATGGTTCGTTACCTGTTGTTACTTTCAGAAACAGACGAAACGAAAAAATTGTGGTATGTCCGCCAATGATCACGATTCTCGGTCATGTCTGATGACATCTCGGACCGCTGCTTCGAATTTTGTCTCGAATTGCATCCAGGTAGTCGTGATTTTCAAACAGATGCTAACCTAACACAGATATCCTTCATCCCACAGCTTCACGTCAGGGGCTTACTGCTTCCTTCCTTTTTCCGTCTAGTTCCAGGTTTTGCAAACAGTTAATGGTATGGGTGCTGCTAAGGTAACATTCTTATTACACATCCAAGCTGCCGAAGTTAGTTTCTCAAGATGACAACACTTGTTAAGAGACGATCCTCACCGTGTCCAAACACACGCCACCAGACTCAGGATGCAAGCAATTCTATATGTAGGCGTTACACTGAAATAACCATGGTATTTTTGTAGTCTTCCATCAGGTGTGAAATAAGTTGTCTGCGTCAAATGGTATACATCAGGGTTATCTACTGTTGAAGCTAAGGCTGACAAATGCAGCACATGGTATCAGTTTATGAAACTTATATATGTTAGTTTAATTGACATATAGAGGTGCGCTTCTGGAGGTAAAAGTTTGCGATACAATCAACATCCTTGGCTATAAAATTCAAAGCATACGATCCAGAATTGATCTTAGTAGTGTGAATACATTCTTGGTTTATCTTTGTGGGAATTTGAAAAATTGTATTCCCACATAATACTTCCTGTTCGATACAACACCTAATATTGTTACTTTCACCACTGAATAAATGTACTCTTTACAAATATTTTAATTGGTTTATTTGATTTTATGTATTTCAGGAAATGACAAAAACTTATCAGAAATCTGGTTGTGTAAATTTTCTCGTAGATGGCTTTCCACGTAATGATGATAATCGATTGTGCTGGGAAGAGGATATAGGCCCTATTACAGTTTTGAGACGTGTCATCGTACTAGACTGTCCGGATGACGTAAGTTGTTGATTCGATCTATTTTATATAGTTATTGCCGGTTTTGCATAAATTGTCATCATACCAACTAGAAATTGAACAAAATCGTGTGTAAATAATTACCTTTTTCATTTAGTCCGGTGAAATTACTTAGCCATTTTATCCATTAGTCAATCACTAGTAGAGTTGTGATATAATGATTTAGTTGTGTAAGTCGCACCTGTTGAGTCATGAGTTTAAATTCGTACGTCCCTCCCCGCCCCCTCTGTCTGTTTACTAAGGCCTTTTCGAACAGGTAGTGTTGTCCTTCTTCTTATATTGGGTATGGCCTATAAGTTAGCGCATAAACTTTTTGAGAAAGAATTGGACCTAAATAGTTTTCATATGCCTATAAAACTAGTGAATCAACGTAGAACCTAAGACAGAAGTTCAGCCATTCATCTTGGAACATATTCATGAGGCGTCCAAAGTAAGGAAGGTGAAATAGGTTTAATGAATAGGAAAACCGTATTAAGACTATTGAAGATTTTCAGAATCAGATCGATGGTAAAGAATGAATACATACATCTTTGATATTTTAAGTGATTTGAACCATGTCGTGAAGGGTTTCCAACCGTTCCAATATGTAGCTTCGTAAGTCACCTGCGCAGATAATACAATTTTCTTTGTGGGTTCAAACAAAATCATGAATTCGTACTGTTCCAGCGTAATTTCTTCTAAATCTCTTTTGCTATAATCCTATTTTGGCTATTATTACTTATAGAAGAAGCCTGTGGTTTGGGATATGTCCTAGCCACATTAATCAGTGGAGCTTCATGTGCATACATACACTCAACTCCATTATCACTTGCCAAGTTGTCCCAACTAATTCAGGCAATTGATTAAAGGCACTTATGATTGAAAACCTGTAATCTTTTTTACCTTTAGCAGCTTTTAAGTAGGACACAGCATCAAGCTAATTCAGCGTCAACAAGAGTCCCCTCTTAAAGTCATTTACAAGTTAGTCATTTCCATTCTGTATTATAAGTACTGTTTTTGGAACAAAGTAGATTATTATTATTAATTATAAATGGAGTTAGATTTCCATGCTTTTGTATGTCAAATCAAGACCGAACTCTAAATACAGAAATTTTTTTCAGTCTCTTTCCAAAATGGTGTTAAGCTCCTTACACATTTGTGTGTCTACGACTGATAAGAAGAAAATAGTTTATACTCATCTACAAATTGAGGATAAATTATCACTAATGATAGAGACCACTGTTTAATAAAGGCAAAGATTATCTACTCCGAGAGTGGCTTACGAACGATGCCTACCAAATTGTGAGGAAGCCCAAAGAGATCTAAAGATTTTAGTATATGGACACCAATAAAACGATAAGTAGGAGATTGCACTGGATCATTGTACTCAGTCATCACTATCACTTACTAACATACAGGTAGCATATTTTAGTGATGAATTACTTTTCTTTACAGATTTCAAGGATAGATTAGTGCAAAATGAAAGCACAGTCGAAAAATATGAGAAAAATTTAATTAATAAGTACAACAAGTTTAAACTGTCTCAAAAATGATGAACCGACTGAAAAGTATTTTAGTTACAGGTAAGCTTGAAAGTATCCTTAGGCCTACTGACCACTTTTGTGATCGTTTCTTCTGTATATACATGTAATGACTATTACATCTAGAGATTTGGAATATCAAGAAATACACAGATACTATTATTATTAGTTACAGGATTTCATCATGAGCTAACATCGGTTAGAGAACCATTGGTCATCAACATGAACATGAGTGTATATGAATTGGTCCTTGTGGTACTTTCTAATTGTCCACAAATCCCTAGTTATGATTGCAGTATGTTTATCCTGGTGGCTTGCTAAAATCACCACTAATTCATGCACCAAATTATGGAATATTTTCAGTTGGTTCCGCTATAGGTGTTACTAAGGTAGATAGCTTGTTAGTAAAAGTCACTCACTTTGTAACAGCAGAAGATACGGAAGGTATATTTTCAAGTGATCAAACCGCTATTTATATCTATACAATTTATATTCTTTAACCAATCACTGAGCGTGTGATTTCGGTTTATATTGACCGAAATGAAATAGAATGTTCAAATACATATATTATTCTGTTGCTAATGCAGTATTGAACTGTGGGAATAGTATTCAGAAGTTAACACTAACAAATACAATGATTCTTACTATGAGTATAATATTCCGTTGGAACTTATTGTTTGTATCACACCACCACAACTTCACCACTAAGTCACTTAAGTGCGCATTTTAGGAAGAACATGGGTTTCCTGAAAATTTCACTTACCACTTGCCGATTATTATCAACAGTCATAGAACCTATAATCAAGGCTTTCTACTACCCGCTATATGATATCTAGTTCAGCACAGCATACTAAGCAGGTGTTGGAGCCATTTGAGTAAAAGGTAATCGTGGAAATAAAGACAACTGTTAATTTGTGAGAGTCATGATTAGTGGGGATTCGGCTCACTGCGTTGTGAACTCCACTTTCAGTTAATGGGTTTTGGGTTCGTATATGTCTCCACCTACTTCAATCTCGGCAACTGTGTATTATCAACAGCCCTCATATAATAAGTGTGGCTTATAGCCTGGAAAATGTTAAACCTATTCCAGAAACTAAGTTCAAACGACAATATGATTACGTCATTACCTAACAGACCGTCTGCATAATCGTAATGGTTAACTAAAAAGTGAATAGTCTTGTTAAGTGTTCCTTTTTTGACAGTAATTATTAAAATGGTGATAGACAGTGAGGCATAGAATCGATCACAGATATATGCTCATACCTTTTTCCCCTCTTAACTTTGACACCATCTAGCTTTATTTAGTTTTACTTTTCGTTCTTGTATATGACGACCTTTTGCAACTTTTTGTGTTTCCCGGGAAGTGTCCACCTTAACGTGAAAAGATGAAGGTGTACTTGTGAAACAATGAGACTCCTGGTTTTTTATGTTGGTAACTTCTTTTTGTAGTGTAAACGGTGTGGTATAAGTGAAATATAATCTCAATAATAATAGTAATGAGGTGTTAAGAAACATTTCTCTCAGGTTAGACCACGGATAAATATCAGTTACAGAGTCATTGAGAACTAGAGAGTAATGGACAATTGTTTCATCCTAGTTTGAGACTCATCGGCAGTACGCATCCACTGGGTTCTTGAAAATTAATCAAATATTTGCTAGTGACTGGCTACAGGACGAAGCTACCTGAAGCTCTAGTAAGGAGTCGTGAACACTGGGATCCATCCACTCAGGAGTGAGGATGAAGTTCCTGCCGACGACATTGGTTGATGGTCGCGCTGACATCACGAATTGGTAGAAGTTGGAATTCATGGGCCATTTAATCGGGTCCCAGTGGCTGAATGGTATATGAGCTTACCTTGTAACCGAAAGATCCTGAGTTCGAAACCCAGTGGGTGCGTGCTGCCGAAGAGTCCCAAACTAAGATGAAACGGCTGTCCAGTACTCCCTGGTTTTCAATAATTCTCTAATCGATGTCAATCCGTGGTCTCATCTGAAACAGAATCCCTACAAACTAATTCTTGGAAATATTTCTCAGTTTGTTTTAATTCTTCATAGAGTTTGTGTACATACTAATATAATTTAGCCATATTTGTAACAAAGTACTTGACCCTGTCTGAATTTTGTCGAAATGGTTTCACCTAGGTCAAGTTATTTGTAAATATCAAGCTGAAACTTATTTCTCTTGTTTATTGATTTGTTAGTTATTATTGATTGTTTTTAATTTATTTATTTACCCGCTTTGTATACGCTAAATGTCCACACATCCAGGGGTTAAATGCATATTTATGTTTGTATTTATCCCACTGTATCATTTTAACATAACTTCATTATGCGGAAGGTAACTTTGTATCGAATGGACACACTTATTGCATGAAAATATGGTGATATGTAAGAACGTTTCTGAATAATCAATTATAACTTCAAGACAGAATTCATTACAAATAGACTGATTGAAAAAGCCATCAAAAACCATAATAGTCTGAACGGCTGTTTCTTCCTAGTTTGGCCCTCTTCAGTAGTACTTGCTCATGATCCTGCAGGAAATAAATCGAAGGGCTGTTATTTTTTTAATACTACTACTTAAATGATTTAACCCCGCAGCCACAAATTCACATTCAAACTCAGGAAACTTTATCCATAGGCTGTTAAGTAATAAGCAAGGAATTGGTAATTGGGTTTTCAATTTTTAATTCAGTGTGCAAGATACTACGGTAAATATACTGTTTAAAAAATAAAAGCAAGACGATATGACTTGAAAATCGTTATTACTGCTGCTATATTCTCTTGTTGTCCTCATTTTAACTCATATTTCATGGTAAAGTGTAATAGCCTGATGAATTTATACCTGACCAGTACAAGCACTCGGCTCCCAATCATTAGATCTGTCATCTTTGCGTCACTTCATCAACCGAGGCCTAAGAGGCCGAATAGTATCATAAACTCCTATATAATAAATGTACCCCGTTACGTATTGCATGTATACCTGCTCATAGATGCTAAGATAGATTATTTTCAAGTTAGAATTGCTTGATTTGGCTTCTGTGTATTCTCAGTTGTTGTACTGCCGTCTGACTTTCTTGTTAGAGACATTGAGAAATAATAAAGTATTGTCTTCCTCTGTTTCAGTATGTGCGTGAGCTATATCGAACGTTATGAGAAGGACCTCTGCATTGATGTCATTCTTATGCACAATAAAAGTGTCGTCCATATATATCAACAGTAAGATGAGAGTAGGTTGATTACATTTTTAAGTGAACCATTCTCTAATTTCTCCATAAACATGTAATTGTAAAGCGTGATAAGAAATTACCGAAAATACGTATTGTCGAACATGTGCCTGTAGGTCTACATCATAGATGTCCACTAGCATTTAAATGTAACATAGCTCGACACATGGTTGACACAGGACACCAGATCAACGCAGCTGAATCTTTTAAGGTGGTGAATAGAAAAAACACTTCACGGCTACTCTGAAGTGCTGAAACTTTAACCATCCGATAAGTGAAAGTTCTCTAACTGAAGTCGGTACGTAATCAAACGTGAAATTAGTCAAATCCTTGCGAATCAGCACTTAAAAACTACTTTTCTACCAATAAGTCAGAAGAAGAAAGCTGATATTATTTACCACAGTATTTGTATTTGTAAAACATATTTCTTCTTCAGATTTGTATACAACGTTGCCTTGGACGAAAGTCGAATAGAGTGGATGATAATGAAGAAACTTTACAGCATCGGTAATGTTATTTATTTATAAGTTTTGCACGTCATTGCCATTGTTAACTGCAATATTGCATTTCTTCAGTAGCTTTAATTGGGCCTGTATTTGTGTGTGGCCTTCTGTTTTTACGACAATTGGTTATCTTAATTGTTCTGTTTCTCTTGTCTCAAATGGTCCGTCTAGTGTGCACAAAGCGGTAACTGACTAAGTTTAAACACAGAACTTTGAATAGAATTGCAACTTTTCAAGCTGTCACAAACCATTTGGTACACAAAAGTAGACGAAGGACAGAAAAAGGAGATTTAAAATGATTATACTATTATTATTCCCTTGGGTTCCGAGTGGAACATAGGGCTTCACCAACAAATATCCACTTCTACTCTCTGCTGTCCTCTTCAGTTGGCTCTACAACTACCCATAATCTCTCATCTCCTCACCGAACGATCTTTTCCATGTCATCCCTGCACCGACGACCCACTCGTCTCTTCGCGTTTGGGATTCCACTAGAGCGATAGCTTGTATTACGCGCGATGTCATTCGACGGTTTCCTTAGCGTATGTCCAGTCGATTTTCACTTTCTCCTACATATTTGCTGAGCAATCGGCTCTTGGTTGGTTTTTTCCACTGCAGAGTTTCTTGTTAATAATTTTTTCTGGCTGGCCATTTGATCTTCAGTATGGAGTCAGCGAAGGCAGCTGTTGATAAAATTCTGCTGTGGTCTATTGGAAATCCTATTCGTGACGCGCACGCCAAGTTTCTGACCCGTATAGAAGAAATGACTGACTTCACATTTGTGTTGAAAATCCGAATCTTCTTCATTATGCTGAGTTAGTGCAGATTTCCAAACTGGTTTCAGGTGCATGAAGTATCTTGCCTTTCCGATTCTGGTTGGCCTTGACATCTTCACTCGTGCATGAGATGAAAAGTGCTTCCCGGTTAAGTGAAGGAATAAGCCCCTGTTAAATCTTTCCCGTTGCTGGTGATTGGTGTTGGTTGGTTATATGCATCACCGTCTTCTCTATGTTCACCTGCAATCCTGTCTTCGTTAGCTGTTTCTTTGGAAACAATTGGCGACATGGCTCAAAATCGTTCTCAGTGGCGCAGATGCATCCACTCCTTGTGACTTATGATTTCCAAATAAACTTTTGTTCTCCGTTATTACTATTCCTTTGTCTCACACCACTGTTTACTGTCTATATTTTGCATTTCTTCTACTTCCTTCTCTTGCTTTGCGTGCTACATGGATTGTGGCGACTTGAACTGCCGCACATATGTGCAAAGTTCTATGTCGAAAACAGACAGACAGCTGTTTCTTTAACAAATTTGTTGGTTTTCGTCTGTGAGTCTTCTAGTTTGTGAGACATTAAACATAAATCATCTGCGAAATCCAGATCTTCTAGAGCCTTATTATCGGTGCTCCAGCGTATTCCTATATTCTCACTCCCTGCAGTCTGACGCATAATCCAGTCCACCACAATTAAGAAAATCTCTGTGGGTGATAGTAAGTAGCCAGCCTTGTCTTACTCCTGTGTTCACTTCGAACGCCTCATTGAATTTCCCGTTGTGGATCACCTGATACGTGACACTGTGAAATAGCTGTTGAATGAGATTAATAAAGATTTGGGGCATTCCACAGCGGTGAAATAGTTTCCAAATTACTTCTCTGTCAACGCTGTCTGGCGAAAGCCTTTTCGAAGTAGATAAAGTTAAGGTCCAGGTTCGACTGCCATTCTACGCTTCGTTCGATGACGACGCGTAGAGTTGCAATTAGGTCAGTTGATGATTCACCTTTCCTGAATCCAGCTTGTTCCGGGCTAGCGGAGTCCTGCATCCAGTGTATCCTTTTAGCATCTCCAGGATGACACCACTTAGTATTTTACTTGGCTTGGAGAAAAGCATTATTCCACACCAGTTCTTGCAGAGGCGTAAGTCGCCCTTTTTTGGCAGCTTGACAAGGTAGTCTTTCAACCATCAAGTATCTTCCCTTCCTTCCTTACAAACATTTTGCAATAATGGCGTGAGCACATATGACAGAAATGTAAAGGAGAAAGATGGGAACATGGAAAGAGATGACGGTTTAGTGGATATAGGAGGTCACAAGGTGAATGCATCTGCACCATAGTGAACGATTTTGAGCCATATCACCAATTATCTCCAGCTGTTGTTTCTTAGAACTCCAAGGACCTCAGCCAGGCAGTCTACAATTCTTAGCATGGTTCACACCATCTGTCAGAAGCTTCATAGACTGACCTCAGGTTTTGGTCTGACCACTCCTAGCTCTTTTCCAACTTGATCATATGTCAGCTAACATTGTTCATCGAGGTGGGCAATTACTAGGCTTGAGCAACACATGTCCTAGCCATCTCAGTCGATATAGATTCACAATTATATTATACTGCCTAACATGTGAGACGGCACCTTTAGTTACATACAGGTAACCTTTTCATATCTTCCAATTTTAATGGTCATGTTTCACAGCCATAAAGGAGGACAGAATGGACTCCTGTGCGTCCTCTGATCGATAACCGGATATCACATCTATGCCAGAGGTGACCTAAACTAGCAAATACCACATGAGCCTTTTGCTGAGATTTTGTTTGCAATCTGTTCATTGAAGCTGATGCAACTTTTCAAATAATTGGAGCGGTCAACACACCCAATCACTTAACTCGCTATCTTCAAACTAGGAGTTAGTGCAGTCCAGTCCTTCAGAATAATCTTACATTTAACAGAAGAGAATTGGATGTTAAATATTCGAAGATTTCTGCTCAAGGTGTTCAGAAAACTATGCATTTTATCAGCATGTTCACCTGGGAGAACAATATGCTCCGGATACTCCAAGTCAAGAAGGCTGTTTCGCTGTAACTTATCACTGAAGTCATTTAGGGTCAATTCCATTAGCACATGTATGATGAAATTAAAGGGAAATGGGTGCAGTGAATATCCGTAATAGACACCACTGGTATTCATTACTTCAGATAACAATTCTCCATAAGCTCTTACGTCTTCATGAAGTCAAGTGCCCCTGATTAGTGGGAAATACTTTTTCTGCACTCCCTTCATGGTCAGAAATCGCCATGGCACCTCCTTGTCGACGGAGTCGAATCCTGCCTTTGGGTAGAGAAATTGGGCAAGTGTTAGACGACTGTAAGCATGCCTATGTTCCAAAATCTGTCGAAGGGTGAATACATGATCAACACACCCTCTCCATGGTCATAAGCTTGTCTGATTATCACGTATTTGTTTCTCTCTATCACCACTTGGGTGTGGTTGTAGGGTAGTTAAGTTGCTTCTCCTGTTGTTGAGAGCTAATTTAAGCGCCGCCTTTCTCGAAGATTGTCTCACTTATCATTTGGTTTTTGCAACTTGTTTCTCTAATAAGTCTAAATGTTTCCTATCATCGTTGCCTTTTAATCTCTTTGGCTTTTGTCGCCCACCACTGTTCGCAGTCGTTGTGAAGACGTTTGGTCGGTTTAAGCAGCTTTCGCCACTCATCATGTTCAGAACCCGCTGAAACCAATCTTCTCGAGTCAGTCAGTTCGGATGAGGCAGCGGAAATCCCCTGGCATGTTTCAGGTTATCAACAGCCTTTACCACTGTTTCTACAGCTGACTGGTTGTTACGCCATGCTTTCTCAGGATGAGTCTTGTTGTCAATCTTGGATACGCACTTATCAATTCGTTCTCTGAATAGGGACTTAGTGTCCTGATCAAGCTGGAGACGTAATGGATTCATCGCTACCTGTTTTCTGTGTTCGTTTTGTTGTAGGCAATTACGTGCACAAACCAGGGCGTGATCAAGTTTTCTAGCAGAAGCGGCAGTCTTCTAACAACCGTCGCCATCGACAGCTTGTCGCTCTTTAGTATATTTCAGTCCATCGCTAGTTTGATGATGAAGGTCGCCATGTTAGGCAAGCTCTCTCTGTGTTTGAATTAAGTACTGACCACCAAAGGATTACTGTGTGAATAAAATTGTAGAAGAAGATCGCCTTTGTCGCTTCTTCGACATGGGACTCCGTAGTTACTGTCACTATACTTCTGGGACTGGAACAACTCTACTTGAGGATTGAGGTTGTCTACTAAAAAGTCTGTATCTGAGCGTTTTGCTTTTATGAGCGAAGTAGGTAGTTTTGCTGCTAAAATTGATTCCCAATTAAGTTGCCATCCGCATCACTACAACATTAATTCTTGTTTTCTACTGGTTCTACACACAGCGGCTTCACGTGTAATTTTTCTGTACATGACATTTGAAGTTCTCAGGTTTCATTCCTGAAAGAATTTGGAAGTATAACTTATTAATCAGTTGGGAAACATGGAATTATTGTTTTCATTGATTCTCACTAGATAAATAAATTTATTCTGAAAGTAACCGTTCTTTTAAAGAATTGATTACGCAACAGTCTAAATATCATCTGAAAAAGAACATTTCACTGTGGATTATTGATTCAATAGGAAATACTGTCCACTAGTATTTACATGGTAGGTAATTTATTGTTGGAATTTTCGTCGGCCAGGCATCGTGGTACTTATTTGATTTCTTTCTGATGTACTCCTTAAACTCACCGTCACGGCACAAATTCAAAGTGTATATATTCCAGCTGTTGTGATTATGTAGTACTTTGCACTTTTATAATGAAACTGTAGATTATACACATCTGTTCACTCATCACTGAATGGTTATTTTTCGTCTAAGTTATGTGTAGTAGGATGGTATTTTTCACATTCTGAAGGTAACGATTCTGGCAACTGCTTGAAAATACCAACAGTGCTAAAAGTAAAGAAAATGACAAAAGTTAAGCAATTTTACAATTCTGTACCTAAATTTTCTCCCTATTACTTCTTTAATATATTATAAACACATCAGCCTCACGCTTATGTAACAGATAATCCAAGATCGGAACACTCCTGCGATTTCTTTGCAGGAATTGGACAAACTTTAGCCACTCACCTGCCTTTCTACTTCCCTATGCACTATGTATGTGTGCATGTTATTGCCTTGTTAGACTATTTCGTTTATTTAATCAAAGCTGAATATTCTTTTTCCATTTGGTGATTGTGGATCCATAGTTCTCTATTCTTCTTCAGAATTTTCTTTTCCAAAATTTCCTCTATGGAAAAAGTTAAGGGAAATAACGAAATTTGACAGATCTGCCTAATACTCTGCTTGAATTAAAATTATAATGACATCTAGGTATGCAGGTTCTTGCATTTTCAACAGCTGCCTTCGCGCCGTACATAAGACTAGATGGCCGACCTGACCAGAAAGGATGATCAACAAGAAACTCTGACAGCCCAACAAATATGCAGGAAGATTTGGCCATACACTCAAGAAAAAAGCTGGTTGACATCACACACCCCAAGCAGGCCATCGAATGGGAAACTGCAAGTTTGATGGGGGTTTGAGGGTGACATAGTGGGGGAGGGGGGATCATATGAAGAGGAAATGAATGCCTACTGGGAGTCGTGGAGTCAGCTAAAAGAGACTATTGATAGATGACAACAGAGTGAAATGGAGATGCGCTACTAAGACCCTGTGTTCCTCTAGGAGAACCCTAGAGAATAAAATGATAGTAATAAACTTCCCAACTATTAAAAACTTCATAACATTGTTTAATGGTAATCTTATTTTTCTTCCTTTGGGTTTTTTTTCTTTTAGTATAAAACAGTTCAAGGAACAGTGTATGCCAGTGATTCAATTTTATGATGCACAAAATCTAGTGACAATAATTGATGCAAAGAAGTCGATACCGGAAGTAAGCTTTCTTATTTATTTTAATGCGAATGTAAAGTTCTATGTTATATTCAAGTTTTTTCTTCTCAGCAAAACAAAATGATTAACTCAACTGTGAAAAAAACCTCCGCGTAGACATGCCTCTCTTTCTCTCACTGGCAGCAACGAAATTGACTGCTGTTTAGTGAATATAAAAGGTGTATTTGAATAAAACAAGAACTAAACTAAGTGATAAGTTTGTAAAAGAAGAATAAGGTCTAGGTAATGTTGTAAGGGAAGTCGGGAATGTGTTTCATGGGCATAGACGCAATCAGCTTCAAACCAATTCCTCCCGGTTAGGTAGCTTTCGACATACCCATATGTCGGGTACGCTAGAAGTTTTTTCTCAACTATTATATACATTAGTAGAACGTAAACATCTCTATTAGGATTTAATTGTTTATGGATGTTTTAGTCAATACTGTCGACACAGACTATAGTTAAAGGGCAAATAAGTTGGCTTAGAACTTTGCTTGTTTGTAGAACTTTTAGCGTCATCCGACGGTCACTACCTTCTACGTAACATTGTACGGTGTCTTCAGCTACAACCTTCAACCGTACAAGATCTCTGAGATCGGTTGGTTGTGGTATACAGTTTGCCTGACAACACACGTTACGTGATTTTCTCTTCGAAACGAAGTCTAGGCATCAAGTAATTTGTCTTTAAACTACTAATGTCGTTCTAAAAAGTACCCTGCCAAACATAACATACAAGATATAACGGATGAGCATGAATCTTCCAGAGGGTTGTTTGTGTTTTTTTATACATTGGACTGTGAAATTTGATCCACCAACACTTCGTATCTAGAGTCTAAATCAGAGTTAGTTATCATAGAGATGTCAAAGTCTTCACTATGTTTTTCAGTGGAACGTCCACTAACTAGCAATTCATATCTAGTGTTAGCAATATCCGGCTGCTCCTTGACAAACAAGCTCAAGTCAGTAAACTATTGCTCGTAGCTTTTCTTTGCTATACCACAAGCAATTTCCACCCATTCTTGTTAAGACTGAACTTGGAATTACAGAATTAAGCTTCTATGTTCCTACCAAATTTCACGTTCGAAATATAATTCGTCTGCCTAGGTGTTAGGTCGCATTCCTGTACTTCGTCAGACAGTAGTTTGCCCAAAAATGTTTTTATATATGTTGCTGGCTATAAATGGTGTGAACACGGGCAGCAATTTTGCTCGAAATATTACTAATAACAGAACTCATCGTTGTGTGTAAACCATTGAAATGTAATTATACTTTATTTGGTTATAATATGCCTTCGTTAGAATGCTTACTGTAGACATTCCATGGTTTTATTGGAATAGGATAAGATATTGGGTTAACTGTGTCTTAGTCATTATCATAGTAAAACTGGCGTTCATGCCTATTTTGCCTGTGTGTGCTTGTTTTGACTTATGTGGTCATTTCCCAAAAAAATTTCCGAGGTGTACATACATTTCTCTAGTGCATATTAGTATATAAAATTGAGTTTATGCGTGTGTATGAAGTGAGCAACTATGGCGTGTCTCAAATTGTTTGTGCAAACTTCACTGGAAAAATATCCTTCCATTTAAAATAATCAATGCAATGGAATTTTAGACTATCCTTAGATTAATTTTAAATTTTATCTGTACTGAATTGTGAAGGCAGAACTTAAAATAATCTATGTCAGTATAATTCCAATGGATAATTATACGTGATAACCCTTGAAGAGCGAAATGGCAACATTAACAGGATTAGAGGTTTGTGAGATGATGTACAGGTTATACATGATTGTGAGGTACTATTTGGTTGCTTGGACTGAAGGCTTAGGTTGAGTGCCTTGAACCCTTAACCGCACCACCAATTAACAACAACAAGAAGAAGAAAGACAGCGATAAAGCAACTGGTAGGTTTGGAACAATTTAATCACTCGTCTAAACTTTGTATTCAATACTTTCAAACCATGCGACCTATGGTTTTCTCATCTTGAATTCTATGCTTCATTTTCTCATCTTGAATTCTATGCTTCATTTTCTCATATCTGTTGGTTACCAAGAAACTGCTCGATGTACATGAAAGGTATATTAATAACAGCTAAAGTGGTGTATAGACAATAAGCTGAAAAACAATTGTTGATGAACTTATTTTGTTTGTTTACTTCACTACAGTGATCACTGAAATAATTTGGGAGGGGGAGCCTATGGTTTTATGGGTCATTTGTAGCTTGGAAGTTAAAATCTCTTAATATTGAATTTAGTGCAGTTAAAAAACACTTTCTTTAGTCTCAGTACTGCTGTTATATATGGTGGTGATAGATGTAAACCACTTGTCTTTAAACTTCACAATGACATAAACGCATAAATTTTATTTCATTTCAGGTATACGATCAAGTTCGACAAATGATGAAAAAGTTGGATAATTGATAAATAATAAATGAATTAACTAACCAAATTGTTCTGTAACTTATACCGACACTACTCTGTTTCCTGTGATTTTCTTCATCTCCCTTGTAGGAGGGTTGGCACCTCCTTAATATTGCTATTATTTTTTTGTTTTTCAAAGTCAACTTACGGTTACAGTATATTATTTATATTATGTGAGAATTACACTGCTTTCTCTGTAGATATTAAAGCTTGCAAAACACTTCGGGCAAATATATGTATTGTTTGGTAAACTGTCACTTCTAGGAAATATTTCCTCCACAAGTAAAGCATGTGTTTGCATATGAGTATATGATCGGTTAGCGGGTCACAGAAGACAACATTCAAACGCTGACTAAGTGATGAGTAGACATTATATGACCATACACGATGTAGCATCAGGTTAGGTATTACTATTTCAGTACATATTCGCTGTGCAGATTTGCATATATTTCAGTCAGTACAAAATAAGACATCATATAACAGACATATCTTTAGATGATGACTTTATTTGTTAGAAGACAGGAGTTTACCTGAAGAGTTTTGTCGTAATACAATTCGAGCTGTCTGATCATATATTTTACTTATCAGAACAATTTATATGCAAAATAAAAGGCCAATAATTCTTAACATACAAATAGCTTTGACAAGTAAACGTGTCCTGAATGCATTGCGCAAATATACATAACGTTTTTCAGGTAAACTCCGCCTATGAATAACACTGTTGAATATTTAAAACAAAGACACTAATTGTTTTAAATACACACTTCTTTATGATAACACCACAAACGACAAAGGTTGGTGAACAGAAATAAGGACAAAACTAAGTTTGGTTGATTAATCTTACAACAAACATAACAACATTGCATTGAAATTCTGATTTCCTACATGAGAAATAAGAGTGATATACACTGTGGATTCCACTACCTGCGATTACACAGGTATCAGATTGATGAGTTTTAACGTAATACTGAGGCTTTAATGCTACCTAAGAGTTTAGATGTAAACAGAGAAGTTCATCAACTTCGACTGGAAAAATATACGACGGTAAATCGCAAACATTATTATTTAGCAACTAATATTCGTTCAACAGGAAAAGATTCAGATGTTAAGTGAAGGCGTTGACAACGTCAGGTGCTTTGCAGGCACCAGCATACTCATAAAATGCGGTGCATCTAAGCCAATAAGTTCCTAAATAAGGTAACAATTATACCTCAAATAACGCCGCTGGGTTAAAATTTGTAGTTAATTTATTGGAAGACTTCACAAAAGTATTGTTCACTTTTTCAAATTTAGGAAAAAGCAGTGGTCGTTACATACTTCAGTCAGATGAGTGTGTCTGCATAAACAAAGCGACACAATGACAATATTTTATCAAAGCTAGAAAAAGTTGCTCATTAACTTTCAATAATTGAATTGAATGTCGTTGATGTCAAAGAGTACAAACATTATTCACAAGAGAATTGACATCCTAGTAACACTGTCGTGTGTAAATCATCGATAGAAGATAATGTAGTTTCATTGTGTGGGAATCAGAAACTGTGGCAGTATGCAATTCTAGAAATACCCACTAGCAACAACGTCGAACTTCAGCCCACGTTTAGCATGAGTTTATACAATAGTGAGCGTGTGTATAATTATTCCTTGAAGAATGCTCAGTTGAGTGAACAGAATCATAACCGATCCATCATTAAGCAATCACACCAATTTTCAAGTTTTAACTGTCAAGGAAGGTGGGATGAGAAAAATGATCGTAGACAAGGAAACGTAGAATTCGTAACTGAATAAACTGGGATGACGTAGCTGGATATTTTCCTATAAAAATGGTAGTCCAAAATTTAATGTCGCAGTAAATAGGCTTTAACGAATAGTCTGAGTCACCACTATTCATATCCATCCTTCATGACACTTTGAAATCACTTAGAACTAAGCGAACAGCCATATGGTGGATTCCAAATGGCTTTACCCTAACTCCATTTGTTTTCTAATAAGAGTGTTATCGTCATAAAAATAAGGGTCTACAATTAAAAGCTGCTCCTATTTTCATTTGGTCTAAAAATAACCTAAATCCCTTGTATTGGTCATAAAATACAATCGAAAAAACCAAATGAAGAGTAAATCTTTGGGAAAAATGTAAGGTTTTTAGAGTAAAAAGATATATAAGTACTAAAGTAGACATACTTATTTTGACGAAACTAGTATGAGATATCCATAATCACATAAGGGGTCTAAGCCCATTTTTGTTAAAATACTTACTTACATTGTTTCTGTCACCTTTCAATGTGCTTCCCAATGCATGAATAGTTTAGCAACGCCGTCGAGTAGGCATAATAGTAAATTGAATGCGGAACTCATCAGTTCAATCACTTCAAGTGTAATAAAATAACCCAGGGGAACAAACCTATTATATTTACTTCAACCTGGACGATCAACCAGCAATAGAAAACTTTTTCACCGTACAAGCCAACAAACTAGTACGGATTTGCTGAGTAATACGAGTTTGCTACAAGTAACATTGAATGAGATACATGACCAAGTACCACACGTAACACACAAACGCTAAAGTTCGTTAGAAAGTAACTGAGTTTGGTGATATATTAACACATTAATTCATCACCTTCCTAATAGTATTTAACAGTTCTAAGCATGTCCTTTGTGATGTTGAACAGCAATAGACGATATTGAGTGCCGACCCAAAAAGTCACTGTCACCTCATTTGGCTACTTTTCTAAATACCACTTCAGTCACATTCATTGGTACAAAAGCAAATCGTGAAATTAATTAGTTACCCTGGTAAAATAAGTGATAACGCCTTCTAACTACGTTGTATTCTCTCCACTGTCGCGATGCACAGCAGCTTGAAGTGGCATGCTTTGTATTGCTTCAACTGATTACAATACCTAATGATAAACTCTAAACTTGCGATTATGAGGCACCAAACTAGTAAGTGTTCGCTAATTATATGATACAGAAAATCAAAATAACTTTTTCCTTAATCAGAAAGCAACAGGGTGAACTAGCCAACACATGAAGTATGCGACGATAGAATACTTATCACTGGCGTTGAGTATTCTATGTTGAAAAATATTGCAATCGAATCTCCTAAATATACTACAATGGAATAGGCTTTATATCATTCAATAAATACTCATTATCGAAGGTTCATATAAGCAAGTAATACGAAATATTCAAATGGTGAAAGGAAATTCAAGTGCTCGACAAATTGTCAAAAAAAAGTTAAAAATTTTAACAAAAAATAAATAAAAAGGAACATAATCCAAAACACTACTTATAAAAAATGCGTATAAAAAGTAACTTAGTACTTAATTATGAAAATAGTAATCATAATGAAAAAGAGGAAATATCCAAAGTTGGAGATTTAAAATAAATAATAATTTCAAGATGAACAGTTTTTCTATGTTCATCAAAAGATAACTTTATGTGCACACTGTCCATGCAAGTGATATATGAAAGACTAATTCATGGTAGTGTTGATGTAAGATTGCATAAGGTTTACATATAATTGCTTTGTGATCAGTGTATATATTATGCACAAATGTATATATATGATGTTGGTTTCTTTCACCGTGTGAGCCACGATACACATACATAAACGGGTATTCAGTACAGAAAAAAACAGAAGTCTTTGACGCTTTCTCATTCTTCCTGAATTACACAGTTCCATACTTACATATTACTTGTCCTTCTGATTAGGATGTATATTATAGGAAGACAACAGTTACTTGGGACAAATGCAATAATCACTCATAACACTAGTATAGCCATCACCGGGACTGTATAATAACAATGATTGATAATAGTAGTAATAATGATGTGACCTACGAGTAAGCTAAACCAAAAAACTAGTATAATGCAATGGCGCTAATGAATGAATATCCATCAAACATAAAGTAGTAATAGCGTTGAGATAAAACTGAATTGTGTTTCATTAAAATGGCTAGTTATTTAATCAAGGATATTTTTTTCATTTCAATACAAACAAACTGATTAACTCGCATGTAGTGAAAAGTATATTCAATATCTTCTAAAAGTAGGTGTAATAGTAGTACTAATAAATATAATGATAATAGTAATAGTATTATGTTAGATAAGAGTGAATGATAGGTGGTAACTTTATGCAATGGATACAATAGTTCATTCAAAAAAGATGAATAATGAAGTATTATTGCTCAAGAAATCCTACAATAACAATAAAGAATTACACACTATCAGACCAGACAAACATTGACAATGAGACATCGACTTCCTGCACATATACATCTTATCCTAACAATTAAATAAAAACAAAGGAAAGGAAGACAGATAAAAAATTCACATTTAAGGGATCTATAAAAAAAGAACTTTTAAGTAGATGAGCCATTGGTGGGATTTGATGTGAAAGACTTTATACAAGATTTTCCAGAGGGAACAACAACAGCCAACTGACTGTTACAATTAGAAAGTCTCAAAAGTTCAGTAGGAACACATTCAACTACAGTTGTTGAAGAGGATGAATTAGACTTTGTTTGGTTAATCCGAGCAGTATGCTCACAGTTTGAGTGTAACGTCCGTTGTGGCTCACGTACAGGGACTGTAGGATGCGTACTATTTCGTTCTGTACCTGAAACAGATGTATTGGACCTAGGCAATTTCGTATGCAAAAACGACAATGAATCCAAGTGACGCGTGGATTTTCCATCAGAAGAAACATCATAATTACCTGAGATGCGACTACGCTTGGATTTGGTAGAACTGTAAGGATCTTCTGAAATTTCTCTTTCTGATTTGTGAATAGTTTGTTTACGGTTCAATGCTTCCTTTTCATCACAAACTGTTTCAGTGGCATTTAAATCGGACTCTCCATTATCTGGCGGAGGGCTACTAGATCTCAATTCGGTTCTTTCAGAAAAAGGAGAATCTGAAGATGGTAGACTTATTTCCACTTCAGAACTTAAATTAAGTTCATCATCATACAAGTTTTCATTTTGAGAACTAGAATATGGCTGTTGCTGCAACACAGGATTAGAATTATCGTGCTTTTTATTTTCAATAGATGTATTGTTGTCATTAGTGTTGCCTGCTGAAGCCAAGATTCGTGCACAACACTCAGGTTCAATTTTTCCCAGTTCAGCAGCCAAAAATCCAACAGTAGTTCGACCTAATTGCAGTCTCTGTTGCATCATTATTAGAGAGTTGCCAACGAATTCCGTTTCACTTTCGGCTTCTTCGACTAAGTACTCCATATCTGTAATCGTAAATTTTTAAAAAACCAAATAAGAAATGATGATTAACAAAAGTGAAAACAAACTCCATATGAAAAATAAGAACAGAATAATTGGTAAGCATACTAGGAATTTAATTTGATTAGCTAGAGATACTTTGTTATCATACACCAACCCATAAATCGATCACAATATAGTTCGATATAATTCAAAAAGCTAACGAATACTTCTAACAATAGAGACGATTAATATTCTGAATTTTTTAGCTGTAATTGGCCTAAGAATATGTGAACACGGAATCTAACACAAAATAAAGTGGTTCCAGACGCCAAGCTTTACAACAAAACAAGACTGACATGAACAAATTGATTCATCGAGATAGAAACAAGATGACTATGAACACAGAATGAAAAAACTAAAACTTTTCGAGCATTAGATAGATGTTAATACAAGTAAGAAACACTAGGAGTATATAAAAGAGAATAAATATACTGTGATAAACTGACAAAACACTCAACAACTAAATGCTACTAATTCCAAGACTGGATCAGTTATGTTATTTGATGACTATACATTAGTTAAAAACCAGCGAGTGTGCGCTTTCACTTAAGCTTAAATTTAATAAGTTACGTATAAGTTTTTACACCGTTAATTTAAAAATTAATGATCAGCAAATCAGACAGAACCTTCCTAGATTGTAAGAGTTAAGATTCAAAGTCGCCTAGTTTTCTGGCCAGTGCTGAAGCTTGGAAAAGAGCGTATGTTGGGTGTTGGCCCACGAACCACATCCCGAGAAAACGTATCGCTAAGGAAAGCAGAGAAGAAATAAATTCACTCTCTGCTCACACTGGGAAGACCCTTCAAGTTGACAACGGATGATCCTGAGAAGTAACACCCTTCAGAAAGACAATCGACCAATACGTCTTCTTTCGATGAAAGTAGAAGTAAGCATGAGGGCATCGAATGTCCATACCATGTTTGGAGCTACTCAGATTGTGTTAGGAATTTGAGAGAGCAAATGAAATTGAAGTCGGCTCTCAAAACTGTTAACTGCAGAAATAAATAATCTGCTCCAGTCATCCAGACAGCAACCACAAGCACACTAAGCGTGTGTCTATAGTGATGTCACCTACAACATTCAAGGCGCTTACGTATTAGGAATCAATATAATCAAGGATCATAACAGTAGGATCTAACTCAAAAGGTAAGGTCACAACTACACAACACCACCCTCTACAAATAACGTAGACCAAGAGAAGGAAGAATTCTGCGGACAACTGTAAACAGTAATTGACAAGAACCAGTTGGTCACATCAAAATTCTAGAGGGTAATATGAGAGGAAGCCACACCGAGATCAGACAACACGGGAAAAGAACTCGTCACACGTCGAAAATGCTTAGTAAAAGGAATACAAACGGAGAACTTTCCTCAAACTTCTGTGTGCTTAGTGATTGACGGCAGTGTGTACCAACACGATGATATTCACAAGGCGACGTCGATTTCACCATGTGGACAACACGTCAAAAGTCAAATAGACTTCGTCTCGACCTCGAAGAAGTGGAGACTAAGCCTACTGGATGCAAGAGCGAGAAGAGGAGTAAGTGAGGTTTAACATCACTACTACTGCAACGAACCTTCAAAGAAGCTAGAGATAGACCACAACACTCAGGGACGGAAGGACGAAATTACAAAGTACACATTAACTGCAGCCATCAGGGCGAAATTGGAGGCACTAAGTAGCATCATCGAGGAAACCTGTGTGTGTGGAAGAACACTCGAAGTCACTAAAAGCCACATGGAAGGAAATCTGTATGACCATATTACGCAAGAAGAGGGAGGATAAGGAGTGGCTAACTCGGAAACTCATTGAGATGAGAGTGAAGCAGATGGACGAGTGCTGGGATGAACAACAGAGCACTGGACTAATGAGAGAGGAAGAGCGCTAGAAAATACAAAAGACACTCTCACAGAACACTGGCTACTAAGGTAGAACAGGCCGCAGGCAAGATGTACTTCAGAAGGTTATACCAGATAACCAGGTCGCCCATCCAGGAAGAGATCAACACAAATGAAACCCAAAATAACCGAGCAAAGAATATTCTTTTCGATGTACTTTTATATATAAACCTCTGTTATGTTAATTTCGATTAATTTCCTTGAAGAAGTTCGAAACAGATTTCCGAACGAAACGTTGGAATTAATCATTTCAATTTCACTGAGATTTTACAAATTTAATTTTATAAATGACTACAGAGTGCCGTAAACATATATAAATATTTAACAGATATATATAATGACGCAATACGCTAGTCTGTTCACAACGGAAAGCGCACAGAAGCATCCCAGTCCTGAAACAGCTGAAAGTGATTGCAGAGAACCAGGTGCGATGGAGATGTGCTGCTGGAGCCCTATGTTTCAGGCAAAGAATGAATAACAAAAAGGTTTGGTTAACATTTACAAAGGAAAACGTCTTTAGTTTCTGGAATGGACAGAAGCTAGATTTCAAATACTAGAATATATCAATCTGCATACTACCTCGTAGCAATTCACGTCATTATCAAATACGGGGAATGAGGATGACTTTTGGATATGTTTATTCAGTTGTTATTGTTTGTCGAAAAATGTCCACACAAGTACTGGGATTCATATGAAGATAGTTATGTTCTAGAATTCCAAGAGCTGTTTACATTTAGATTTACGTTGTGTACAATCCAGTATCGTCTAACTTATAGTGTTGTCACTGTTTAAATGAACAATGATTCAACTACTGATGAATAGTATACAACACTGTAAATATTTGTCAGTCATTTTTGCTTAGTAATTTAAATTTCTTTCTAGAAAAACAAATATCAGACGTGGCTCCACAGCAGGTGAAAGTTCATAGCATTTTACTTACCAGACTATACACATCATGCTATCCTTTCGTCAAACGACCAGTACTTAATTGCAGAGAAATTATTATTATAATTTGTTTTTAACCATGAAATGTGTAACCGAAGAATCCAAAACAATATTTACATTTCAACGATGAAAAATATCTGTATAAGAATTATGGACAGCAGTAATTTTTTTACAGTTTTCTAATGAAGTTTAACATACGTGACTGTTATAATAAAAGAATAGTGAGAACGGTAATAATTTTAAGAATCAGTCCCTTTTTTTTACTAAATTTCTATATTTCAAAAAGGTGATCACAAAAACATGCCAGTGATGTACTAATGTGATTACCCACAGAGTAAAATACAAATTCTTTTTTGGCACAATATGCCACACAAGTAAATCAGTGGCTTACCAATTAGTTCAATACAATATTATTAACTTCGGTAAGGAAATTTTACAAAATGCAACAGTCGAGCATATATGAAGACTACATACTTCTATGAAATATCATGGAAATCTTGATATTCTATTCCAATATTTTCACCCTCCTGTGAATGGATATGCTCCCACTATTAGGTTGATAAGAATGTCGGTTGGATAATTAGTTAGCTTTTCATTTGAATAACAGATCGCCTTAGTTTTTGCGAAGTTGTGAAAGAGGAGGCATAACATCTCATTTCAATCAAGCATCCAAATTAAGTTAATTTACATTTTGAGTGATAAATGATTTCGTGAAAAAAGCGCTATGTTATTTTGATTGCTTCGGATTTTCTTTTTAACCATCGAAAAAACTAGACAGTTCTAGATGACCACATATATAGGAAAAATACGTAAAAAAATTTAATACAGATTTCAGATATTTGTCACAAAAAACCCATAAACACATAAGATGAAACTGAACATATTTTTTTGGATGCGTATCTAACTAGTTTATGCGATCAACTTTCATTTAGCGGATTCCACGTGAGAGTCCCTCTCAATCTACTTGAACTTTGGCAGGTAGGTAGCGTCAGCAACCCTCATACAAAGTGTGGCTCAATCTGGAAAATTAAAGACCTGTTTCAGGGAATGAATTCAAACAAACAGCATCTTTTACTATTAAAAAACCACTCATAAAACCACTATCGGAACATATTTATTGTGAAGCAACCTAGTACGTTATAATTCGCAGTTGTGGAGTAAAACTGACGAGGAGATTACATGCGCTTAACTTAGTTTCAGTAAAACATAACACCTTCAAATGCTGTTCTCAGCAGCGTGGAGGGATTTGGATTTTTAAATTATTACGATAATGTGTTTATATATTTTTGAACATCGCTCAAAATCCACTATATAAATGCCTTCGAACATATCAAGCAAGCGTGCAAACGAAATATCAATCTCGGGGAAACAGATGACGATGTCGGTAACATAACCCCTATACTTCGTACAGATCCCGTCCAATTAATACAGGAGACTTCACATATTCATTCCCCTTAAAGAATTTGAATAAAGTAAGGTCAACTACATAGGTCAAACTAGTAGATCGAGGGTAGTCAGATTGTGGGAAAAGGAATTTAGAGAAGGTTAGAATGATTGACCTTGCGAAGATAAGCAATTTACAAAAAAGCTCAGCTATTGCACTGCATGCATTAACACATAACCACAAAATAGGGTGGGAGAGGGTTAAAATTCTGAAAAGTAATATAGGTAGGTGGAGAGAGAGGTTGGTAACTGAATCTTTGTTCATCGAGTCTGCACCCAACAGGTGCAATATGAATGACTCATCACTTATACCGGAAATATGGAAAATGCTACTACTAATCAAATCAAGCGATGAAAAATAATGAAATTATATAAACGAAGTTAGGAAGTTGTATGAGTAACTTGATGTGAGTTTGAGCAGTAAATTGTGCTCGAAACGTCATCAGTAAATATATTACTGCATAACAAAGTGAGAGTATTCGCTACCTACAGAATCACTCTAACTCATATCATTTGAAAATAACTTGCATGATATTGCCATCACTAACAACTTAATGTTACCTGTAAACCAGCGTTGCTCAATTACGAATTACTATATGAGAATCATGCAGACAACTATGGTCATCAGTTTGATTGGGATCACGTCAAAATCTTAAACAGAGGAAACACGAAAAGTGCCAGAGAATTCCTAGAAGCCTGGTACTCGAGCGAAAATGCGATTAACAAACACGTTAATATAGATGAAATATACCAATTAATAAAAAGTAAATCAGGTGACCAAAAGGTTTAAAATCCTAGTCAATAGAAAGTGGTCAATACATATGTGAAGATAGTAACCAGGAGACGCAATTACATCAAGCATGAAGAAATTTAAATCATTTCACTGTGCTAAATATGGCGCTGAAGATGTTGTCCGGAAGGACGACGAAAGCTTCGCGACTAAACCAACCAGCTCAGAGAACACTTTTAATTGCAAATCATCCACCTGAGCTACAAATCTTCTCTATTATTTCAGAATCAACTATTATCAATATTACTATTTGATCCACCAACTGCGCTATAAGAAACTGGATATGAACACAACCAGATACACATCCACTGACAATGTGGAACTGTCTGACAGTTCAAGCTGTTAAACTTTCAAAGGAAAACCAAGGTTGAAGGTGATATGAAGACAGAAATACACAAAGAAAACCATTAAATGTAGTAAAATTCTGCAAAGCGAACAGCTAGAATTGAGCAAATTATGTGATAAGAAAACCCTCAAAATGAAACTGAAGGACAAATGCACTCGGACGACAGTTACCAATTCTGGATTATTTCAACTCCGTCCATTGCTTTTTGCTTCCCACAGGTTTTAAACCATAGACTAACGAATCGACGAACTCATATATCTTCTTTACTTCTCCACTGGGTTTTTTAAAACTTTAATCCTGCTTTGGCTAACATACCACGCAGGAATAGACGGTCAGAAGATGTGTACCTTTTATGCACTGAAGGTTTAGAACCTCATCAAGTGACTTACTTCTCTCACCTAAAACTCTGTGCCGAAGTATAGTACTGATCACAACCATACATAAACATTTTCATCTAGATATTTACACTTACCTGAATGTGCATTTTTTAGGTCATTTACAAATGCACGACGTAATGCGATTTCTGTTTCTAAACGAGCAGTTCGACCAGCACGATTAACATTTGCTAGCTCTTCATTTTCGTGTTCAAGAACCCGTATACGCATCATCATCCTTTTACCGTTTTGACTGTGAAGTAAAAAAAGGAACATCAAATATGTATTTTACAACTAGAGAATTCAACTGACAAATAATATGTAAATTGGAATTTACAGAGAATACCAAAACTGTAACACAAAGTAACACAATACATTGAAATGATTTTTTTATTGAAATTCACGGCAAATGTATGGTAGCACATCTACAACTGTCTTATCAAGGTAGGTAATATAACTACAATGAATGAAGTTTTCAACTTTAAAAATAAAACATTCCTAGTAAAATTTCAATAGATTTTTTGTATATGTAACGATAGTGTCAATATTCGGTGCACAGAAAGAAGACCAATAACTAGTCAGTGACATGAAAGACATTAAAACCATCCAAAATATAAAAAAGCTTCAAAAATCTCTAAAATTTGAAGTAAGAGACAAAAACAATTGCAACACAGATAATAATAATAACAAGAAAGACAAATGTACCAGGATAATCTGAGCTCATGTTTTTATTTTTATTATTTCGTGGATTCTTCTCAACTGGTTACAACCTCAACAGTACCAAAATTATAAATTAAAGATGTGAACATACTTTTTTACAATGATACTGAATAATTGATTGGAACTGAGCGTAACATTGGACTTTGGAATCGAACGTGATAAAGATGGTAGAATCATGAAATACACCTATAGAAGGGAGACCTGGAGGGCGATTTATCTCAACTTCAAACGCTTCTGCCATGTGAGTTACAAAAAGGGATTGGCGAGAACACTGTTTGATCGTGTAAGGAATCAGCAGAAAAAGTAGAGGAAGAACTAGCCACTGTTGAAAAAAAAGGGCTGTGTGATAATGGCTACCCACAGAAGTTCATCGACAAATATGGAAAATATAGTCTTTACAGGGTGAAGTACAGCATACTAGAGAAAAAAATCCGTCTTTTCACAGCCTGTCTTCAAAGGTCTGTCTGTTTTCGACATAGAACTTTGCACCGATGTGCGGCAGTTCAAGTTGCCACACTCCATGTAGCACACAAAGCAAGAGAAGAAAGTAGGGAAATGCATAATATAGACAGTAAACAGAGGTGTGAGACAAAGGAATAGTAATAACGAAGAACAAAACAGTTTAATTGGAAATCATAAGTCACAAGGAGTGGATGCATCTGCGCCACTGAGAACGATTTTGAGCCATGTCACCAATTGTTTCCAACCATTGGATTTTACCGTCCCGAGGACCCTCAACAAGGAAGTCTACACCTTCCTACGTGGCTTAGACTAACTGTTGTGGATTTCATTGACTGGTGCCATGTTTTCGTTTGACCGCCGCTAGCTCTTTTCCAGCCTGGCCCTATATCAGCTAACATTGCCCGTCGAGGAAGGCGATGACTAGGCATACGTAGCACATGTCCTAACCATCTCAGTCGAAGTGATTTCACAGTTTCGTCGATTGATTTCCCCGCCTTACCTAGCACTCGACGCCTAACCTCAATATTGCTCACCTTATTATACCACTTCACGCGGGAGATGGAACGCAGACAACTATGATCGAAGACAGCTAATCTTTTCATGTCTTCTGCTCTCAATGGCCAGGTCTCACAGCCATAAAGGAGGACGGAGCGGACTGTTGAGCAGTACACACGCGACACTACTAGTAGACTAAGATGCAGATTGAACGCTACTCTGAAAATAACATATCCAACTGCCAAACTTCTATGTGTATATCAAACGATATGTTGTTTAAGACAGTCAAAAGTGGACAAACTCCCACCTCATGTAACCTCCAACTGCGTCTACCAATTTACATGTACGTACCGAAGCACATACATTAGAAGAACAGAGAAGAGTTATTGTCCGCATCGCTGAACATTTACTAACGATCCTGAGAATAAAGGCCCCAAGCATTAAACAGTGCGATTACACACCATCTACTAGACACTGGCGACGTTGTGGACAACCTGAAGTCGTTCAAAATAATCAACAAACAAAAGAAACATAGCCTGCTTCATTTTGCTGAGGCAATCGCAATCAAACGGATAAAACCAAATCTACCTACGCAGAAAGAGAGTGGCGAATTTCGTACTGTCTCGGTGATAACAAATCGTAGAAATTTCACTCCGTCATCTTCTGTCCCGTTTACAAAACTTGAATTTTTCAGCTAAACATGACTCATCCTACCCCTTTTTGTCTGTTTTATAAATACGTGTTTCTCTGTGGTTACGTAACCCGGTACTTTCTATACTCTTTCTAGTTAAACTTTATTTCTACCCACAAAACATTTGTTGAACTCTGTCCTTTTGTTTCCAAGTGTAGTCATGTAATTCTCCTATAAATAGTCGATCCTTTTCATTCTTAATTATCCTACAACTTACATCATTCTTGATCAATATTACTCTCAGTTTCAATCATTTACTCATTGTCACTGTCCCGACCGAAAGCTGCTACCTTGACGTGGTGGTCGGGCTTGAACACTGCAATGACCCAACAAGCTATACTGGCTAGAACTTATGTTCCTGCAGGTCCTACCATGCCAGAAAGGTTGTTTGGATAGCAGTTAGACTAAAAGCAGTTACCCAATCCAGTCCTATGATTTCAAATAAATCACAAAATATCATGCCGGATCGGTCGGGACCCGGATTAACAACGACCGCGCTTTCTGCTGCCGTGTCACAGGGCAGAAGTGATAAATATGCTACTGAGACACACCAAATAAAAAAGAACAAACAAAAACAGGCCGTGTGTGACCGGCCTCAAGCAGTTGTCCCCTGGGCTCTGCTGCCACGCAACCAACTTCCATGGTGTGGGCAGCCGGGAAGTAACAATCGCCCTCACAATCCGAAGAGCACACGAAACCTCTCTATTCCTCACTCACCTTTGTCTTCATCTTCATCTCTATTATCTTACCTTCCTTCTACTAATGCAACTCCTCTACTTAATGGCTCTTCACTTCCTCTTCACTTCATTGTCACTGTAAAAGACAGTATGTTCAGATCTTTAATTTAAAACTTTGCTATTGTTCAGGTTGTAACCAGTTGAGAAGAATCCACGAGATAATAAAAATAAAAAACATGAGCTCAGATTATCCTGGTACATTTGTCGTTCTTGCTTTATTCAAATTTATTAATGGGAGGAATTGTGTGAAGTTTTTGATAATAATAAACTAAATTAAACAAACGTGTCTAGTAAAATCCAAATAGAAATGAAGGAATGGTGAACCAGTATAGAAAAGAAGGCTAACTGATAGAAGATACACTAATTTTCCGCCGTTTATTTTTAAAAATCCCCAACACAGCCGCGAGTAGACTATAGTCTATGCTGATAATGCAGGACTATTGCCCAGTTATCTTTTCGATCTCTGTTTCCTAATATCTTCCGATGTCTGATGTTTACACCAGATATCTGACAAATTAAAAAATAGCCTTTCCTATGACATCTGCTCGATATACCATAGGCTAATAACTTTCCTAAGGTGCAGCAGAACAGCTCAATACGCACCTAAATAAATTAGGAACAGAAGTGAACAAGAGGCAAGGGTGGAATATGTCGCAGCCATCTTGCTTAATGAAGCTTTACAACTGCATCGTCCGACTTGCTTTCCTTACCTGACATCTGGAGGGATTATGTTATGCTAACCAGGGTACTCTACTCACTCGTGGCCGACGAGAATATAAGATGTAACGAGATTATATATTCACCATGGATGCTCCTGTTTCATCGCTTGCCGAATAGAGTAATATGATAAGTCAATAAACAAGGCTATGCAGTTTTATTGGTCAAGGTGTTCGAGGCACGTGTTACGTGTGCCGGACTAAGACTTTATTCGACGAAGGGTATTAGCTGAATTCGGAAAAGAGTAAGAGGTGGTCAGATCAACATATCAGATAAGTCCATGAAATTACTGACTATTGTTCTGGGTCAGATAAAGCGTAGACGGGTTGGCTGCAATAACAAGAATGGTAGGAATCAATGGAGACATAGTTCACCATGGCACAGATGTATTCACTCGTCCGGCAGATTCTGAAAATTATCGCTAATATTCAATAAATTATTTTTTACTACACACCTACTTTTTATATTGTAGTACCACTTGGTTGTTTCCCTATTTTGAAAACTTACGAAATTTGGCGACATGAAATGATAAGCTGTGCTAGCTTTTACGTCAGTCAGCTAGCAGAAATATATATTGGAACTCGTATGTATCGTTTGTCAACACGACTAACATAATGCCAATCAAGGTGATCGTGGGACAAATGAGTTTGATAATATTAAAGATAACAAGCTGGTGATAAAAATGAACGACGTACTTAACGCTACACTTACAGCAATTACCTGGTGTTAGACTCTCTAAGTAGAGTACTGATCACGAGATTACACAAGAAAGCATGAAAGGGTGTTTATTAGTGACTAAATCAACACAAGCAGAGAAATTTGGTATTACAAGCCATCAGATCATATGAAACATGAAGGTTTAAACAGAAAAGTTCAAAATTTATGAAAGGGAAAACACACACGCAAACATGTGTGGATGCAATCGTATTCACTAACTGAAGTAAGTACTGCAGAGCATAAGAAGTATGTCTTGGTATATTCACACACTTGATGAATGCTAGGTAGACGGTTACATATTGCTGTATTCTATGCGAACTCCATTAATGATAACGCGCTTTCAACGAAAGCCAGTTACCTCACCTTCCATACAAGAATTAGAGTTATTAATCAAAACCTAAACCAATGAAATAGGTCCGCTTAGACGGAACTCACCTGTTTTGTGTGAAAGTGAACGATTGTAGTTTAGACTGATTAGTTGCTACTAAATTATTAAAATTCCGCTGTACTCGGAGTAAGCGAGTTAATATCAAATTGACAGAGGAATCAACAAGTACATTGGTATAACTTGGAATTTCTTTTGTTGACAACTCGTTGTCCATTGTAGACTTGGATGACTGAGGATGATGAGAGGATAATGGCAAGCCACGTGTGTAAGCAGCAAGTTTATTTCCAACATGTAACGGATTAGGAAATGGAGTAGGTAAAAGCCCTCCCCCTTTCGGATTGACTGCACGAGTTACAGTGACTGTAGGACCCAGTAAACTATCTAAAGGTTTTGTCAACCCAGTAACTAAAGTTGGGACAGGACGAACAGTGGAGCTAATAGTAGAATTTGTAGTAATGTTTTGTTTATTGGCGTCGGTGTCACATGTACTTGAACGTGGAACGCAGGGAAGCTATAAAACAACAGAATTCAAAACAGTCTATCACTATTCGAAGATTCGATTAAATTAATTACGTGTTTACTATTATTGAAAAATAACGCATCCTAATGTAGTTAAATTACTGATGTGTTCATTCACATTACGAAACTGAAAAATATTTAGATAATCACCTGATAGGCAATAACTCCGGTAAGCTAGGCGCGGTCCATAAGCGTAAACAGAAGCATTAGCTTGATTTAAGACGAGCACCTTATCTGCATTTAGAAGTGCATTTTTATGATAGTCACACATATGAAACTGCAGCAATGTAAAAACTAACAAATCAGTGAAATTATAAAATAATTAGCGTCATAACGTTTAACTACACGTGCAGACATTGCGATTAGTCTAGTTTGTGTAGTAGGCATTATCAAGCACTAACTCCACATCTGAGAATAATACTTTGATTATCTACATATATTTTCCAATTACTTACAGCAATCTGATCTTAAAGATTATAATCAAGAATCAATTAGTAGTAAGTTCGAAGTGTAAAAACGTAGAAGAAGCAATAGATGAACATACTACCCTTACAAAAACAGACAATTTTTAGAATACCTTCCGAATCATCTCAATCCATTAATTCTCCATAATAATACAAGTGAGTCCTTTGACCGAATATGTATTGAGATCCCCGACAAAGTAAATGACAATCTTAACGCTTTTATGTGTTTAATGAAGATTTCTCCAACATGATTTGACAGGATAATAAATAAAACTTTAACAGTTAAATACTGGGTAACGTTGAACGAATTATTTTTACGTCATGCAATTGGTAGGTCAAATCATTTACACAACTCCCTGTCTGGGTTATGAATAGCTTTAGAAAAGGATATCTTTTGTTTCTCACTTTAAACCCTGCCTATGTGCGTACCTATTTACCACTCAACTCACTACAAAGTGAGAACACAGAATTTAAGGTATTACTACCTGAGACATAACTGATTTGCAACGCCAAGTTTAACACCTGAAAAGGTTGTCCAAGAGTTAACCTCGAAGAAAAATTCGGTTAACCTTAGTCACTGAGCGCTAACTAGAGTCAATAATCCTCAACCTCAATACTGCTTAAAAGACGTAATGAACATGAGACTATCTTAAAGTTCACCCATCACGGAAATGCTTTCTACTATAATACTGGATTTTCAGTTAAAAAGAATTATCTCCAAATAAACACCCACTTGACATATCAACTTTGATGAAATATGTCAAACAAACACCTTAGTAACTGATTAATAATCTAATTCGTAAAAGCACATTGTGCAACTAACGTAAAACAACTTATAAAGGTATCATTAATTCAATGAGTATATCAACTTGATAATGACGCACCAATGCTTGGTTCATACAATCTTAAAGAAATCATTATTGTTCTGATACATATGGAATGAAATTTATAAGGGTCATACAACTTCCCTCTTAAAGATAGCGTATTTTCGCACGTGAATAAATAATTCAACTTCATGCTACCAGAGGTTGGTTGGATGAAGTTACGAATGTTTTAGAATGCATACATGCTGAATTATTGTAACATCTGCACACTAGGGCTGAAAATGATGGGCATTTAGGTAGCCATTATAGCAACGACAAAAGCTGAATACGATTTTGAAAATAACATTGAGACTACAGCTAGTGAATGTGATATCCTTGTAATTGTATTACAGGAAACGTGAGCAGGTGATAGCTAAACTGTGACCCATAATCATTCTACGGGGATTCACTATATGAAATTTTTTTGGGACCTAGATAGGTAGTGTAAGATTACTACTTGTAACTAGGTAGCTACTCAACCATAGCTTAATGACGAAAACCAGTGTCGTATTCAGGGAGTCTAAAAATTGTTAGGTTGGAACCGTGAACTGCTGACAATAGTAATTCCACAGTAAAGGCATCTCGATGCATGAAGGACCTGCTATAACAATCACGTTATGAAGCAAAGTTATGTACTATACTTCCAAAGACTACTTCCTTCATAGAATGCACCAGTATACTAGACTGATAAAATTATTCGACAGATAAAATTATACGACACTTTGATAACAATCTACACCAATTCATAAGATCTAACTACCATATAATGCATTCCACAACTTATGTATTGTGCCATATCCTGAGGATAAAGAATATGTAAACCAAGCGGAACAGCATCTGAAGCTGTTTCAAAAATCCGATGGTGCAGCGTATGTTCCTTTTAACATTTGCGCTCTATAGAGAGATCAACAAGATGACAACACACATGGCATTTGACATACCAAATCGAATGTGCATAGTTGGTGATTTAAGAATACCCAGCTGGATAATACATCTGGGTTGTTGGCATAACAGATATTCTGTGGACAGGCATGAGGGTTAAGTGAGCTTCTAGTGCTTTCCAGTTTCACGGGGTCAACACATAATACTCAAGTAAAATGAATATTAAAATACAAATATGGTGCATAAAAATGAGTGGATCATTATATGTAAATATTAGTATCATTAAAAAAGTGACAGCGAACACAAAATTAAAGTTTTGAAAATACTCCAAGACATCAATTACCAAAAAATGCCGTAATTCTCTTTCCTTGGATTCCAATTTCAAAGAAAACAGAGCATCTAGCCTTTCAGATTGCCGAGTGAGCAAACGCAACTTTTCCCCTGAAAGTTCGAGTAAGGTAAACAATATAACGTACGTAGGTTGTTTCTTTCTCTCAATTTAGCTTCTATAGCCTTTTCCAGATCAAAAATACGAAGCTTTTGTTCATCACTAAACGTCAAACTTCTATTTAGCACTTACCTCTTTGTCAGACTGTCATGGTCATTTACAGTACACGGTGGAAATTCCCTATCAATCAAATCTTCATCCTCACCACAGACAGAATATGTATCCATCATATAACAAATTGAAACCACCACTGTCAAATCATCTTAAACCATGTTAACATATCACTAACAAAAATGGCCGCCCTTGCGAATGATAAAATGTTGCCTCAGGCTTTAGGTGTCCAATATCTCATATCGTTTTAAAGAGAAACAGGTGATATTTAATAACGATGTAATTACAAAAACCTATATGGTAAACACTAATATCAATCTTTCACTTTCTTTCCTTGCAGGAAGATACTCGGAAGTCAACTATCTAGATCAAGAGATATAACTGCAAGGTCCAAACTGTAGTAAAAACAACAAAGACTGTGAGAATGGAACCCCGCACTTTCTAAAATTGATTCTTGTGGAATGGACGTTCTCTGCACAGATCGTGTTCTGCCTTCATTAGCTGTGTGCCCGCTGTTTTTCCTGTTACAAATTGATGTCACAGGTGCTTTAGACTCAGTTTCAACATGAAATCGGACTCATAAGGACCTCCCGCAATATGCTCTACACAGAAAGCCAGCACACATCCTTCAACCACAGAGCGCACTCTGCCTGTGTGAGGGCGAACTCTCCTGGACATCAACAGTGACTATAAAATGCGGAAATTTCAAATGGAATCTCTTCTTGCAGAACTTCCCTCGCGAGGCCAGTATAAGCAGATCATGATGGCATTGAGTGACACTGTCCTTCGTTGCGCAGTCACTGGGAGATTCTCTATGCAGTGTACTCAGAGATAACCGACCAATATAAGATGAGTGCCTTGCGAAACCCTCTCTCCAACTCCAATTGCTATAAGGACATTTGTTCACGCTTCTCACAAGGCCTCATATCATATTAGCTTAGTTGCCAACTGCCACGTAACCCAGTGAATTCCATATCAGAGGCTCTCGAAGTGATCAAACGCTTCAACAGTGTTGACCACATCCTCCCGTCAACCGCCAGTACGTCCTGTGACACCCTGGGGAGCACTGAACAAATAATATCTGTTCCAGCGCCCCAACAATGCCGCCTCAACCCTCCACCACCAGTCCAGCCTGCAACACCGTCTACTAACCCCTAAGGCAAACATTAACGCCAACAGATGTTGCTATCTTCGTCGATTTCGTCGCAACGCATGGAGATGTGGACACAATAGAAGACCTTCAGGTGGGCCACTTCTCAATGTATCCTTATTCAATCGATGTTTCATATCTCCACTTACTCTTGAGATTAAAATACACAGAGTAGATGTATCGTTTCTGGTTGACACTGGGGCATACTACTTTGTTGTCCTCACGGGGTTTGTACAGTGATTGAGTGCCAACCCTGAACCTCTCGCCGGTCAGCTGCAGCTAATTACCACCAACGGGTAACACTGCCCTTCCTGTGACCACACATGGGTTCACCTACACTCGTTCCTTTGTCGTGGATTGGCTTTATTGAATATCCCCTCTAATTGTAGCATTAATGTCTGTTGCTATGTTGGTTTAGTAACAAGTTATGCTTTTTATGTGCTTTTTAAATGAAATTTTCCATTAAAAAGCCTTTCTGAATTACATCATATCGGTGGCATAATGTACTTGAAATGCGTTGCATTCGCTGGATTTGGATCAGGAAATGTCTCTTGCTACTGACGCCTCTGCAATGTGAGGGATTAAATAAAACACGGGGTTCAAAATTTAAACGTATATTTTCGAATTTTCATGGAATCATACTGGTATATCCTGCCTATTTATTGTGACAACAGCTTCTGTCTTGATTGGTTAGGTGGTTTTTGGTATTCATAACTCAATTTCAGCATTAACTTCAGTTTCCATGTACTCACAGCTGTCAGCAAGGGTGATGTTATTTTTCAATTTATTCGTATAAATACTTTTGCGCATCGAGTTGAGTTGCAATTCAACATGAAGTAAAAGATAATGACCGCCTTGTCCTATCTTCTTTATTAGACAGCTAATAACACGGATGACTTCACAAAACTCTCTATATTAAGTTCAGAAGTTTTTCCACTCCAGTGCTATGAGTTAATTTGTGAACTGTGTAGGCTTTTACAGTAATACATTTGGCAGGGAGACCTCATATTGAAATCAGAAATGTACATCCAATATCCAATATCGTTTTTACGAGCTAGTATAAACCAATTTGATTTCTTTGTGCTCGCCTCTTAATTGTGAGATATAGGTTTCTGATCTTCGGTAAACTTCTGCGTAGCTCGTCCCGCCACTCGACTGTCGTAGCTTTGGTTGACTCCAAAAGGAGTAGTGCAGGGATTAATTATATTTGGTTTGTAGTATGAGGTGTGTTAAGACTGTTACTACTTTCACCAGTTAGTCCTGTAGTATAGTCGTCAAAATAAAAGAGATAATAATGATAGATATAATTAGTGAAGTTATTCAGACTAACAGACAGAAAAAGAATACGAAAACGTAACAACAGTCAGCTGATTAAATTTGAAGAATAATATGAATAATACATGTATATATACACCGGTAATAATGATAATAATAATAGGTGTAGTTAAAGCTGTCAGGAGAATAAGACAGGAGAGAATGTAAAGAAGAAAAACGACAAGTTTAATTGCCTACCCTTGAATGGTGTATGCGATTTTAAGGGGATAGGCCATTTGGATGCAGTCCTTGTGTCGTTGCATGGCTGTTCAGCCTTCGCTTAAAGGCGTCCACAGATGGTGCCATAGCTACATCTGCCGGTAGGGAATTCCAGGGACGGCAAACCCGCAGGGAAAAGAAGTGGGAGCGCGCCCGGGTCCTTGCCCTCTGATGAGCTATCCTTCTAGGATTTCCACGAGGAGCCTATACCTACTCAATGGCAGAACACCTTTGTTTGGGTGATTCTGATCATTTGTTATTTTGTAGGCAGTAATTAAATCCCCCCTAAGGCGACGGTAACTGAGTGTGAATAGGCCTAATTTCTTCAGCCTTTCATCATATGGTTTATTTAGGAGACCAACCACTCCTTTTGTTGCCCATCGTTGGACTCTTTCCAAGAGGTTGGCGTCTCTTTTAAGCAGTGGAGGTGCAATGATATTATGCACTTCAAGATGCGGTCTGACGTATGTTTTATACAACCTTAGAAAGAGCTCAGGAGTGGGTGCACCTAATTGTCTATGTGTAAAGTGTATGACCGCATATGCCCTCGCTACATCCCCCGTGTAATATACGCTTGTGTCCATTTTCTCCGTTAGAACTAGACCTAAGTCACGTTCCGACGTTGAGCAGGACAAGCTTTCATTGCACAGAGTGTAACTTGCATTCTGCAGTCTACAGGTGCGTAACTTCACTACCTTGCACCTTTTCAGGTTGAAAGTCATGCCACTGGCCACCGCCGAGTCTTCCGGAAGGTTGACAACTTCATGTAGCCTATCTGAGTCCTCCGGGCACTTTATCGCCCTCCATATCTTCACGTCGTCAGCGTATAGAGGAGTCGGGCAGCTTAGATGGCATGGTAGATCATTGATAAAAATCAAGAACATCAGTTGTCGTAGGATAGAACCCTGCGACACTGTGCCAAGATGATCGGACTCGATTGACCTTAGCGCAAAATTGACTTTCAGCTAGGTAGTCCTTTATCCGAGACACAACTGGCTTACCTATACCTGCCTGGCTTATTTTGTGTGGGAGAAGGTCATGGTGAACAGTGTCGAATGCCTTCTCAAAGTCTAGAAAGACCACATGGGCTGGAAAATTCATATTCCAGCATGATGTCTAATCGTCCCAAGCTGATATTAGGGTAGTAAGGCAGGATCTGCATTTCCTGAAACCATGTTAAGCTTCATGGAGTATATTAGACTTATCGAGGTATTCCCTTATGTGATCGTCAATAATACTTTCCAGTACTTTTGATACCACTGGGAGTAGAGCTACTGGTCTATAACCAGTGGCATTCTGCCTATCCCCACCCTTGAAGATCGGAGAAAGGATACTTCTTTTCCACTCCCTTGGCGGTTCCCTCGATTCCATGGAGTGTTGGAACAAGTCGCATAAGGGTTTACAGAGAGCTTCAGCGCACTGTTTCAGAACAGATGGTCTGATGTCGTCACAACCTGGGGACTTCCCAGGTGTGAATCGCTGTAGCTTCATCTGTATTATTGCAGGATTTATTTGGGGAGTAGCCACCAGGTCTTCCTCCTGTGAAATAGTAGTGCCACCATTTCGGTCCATAACGGTAATACCCACATTGCTGTTTAGCTGTTTGGCGAAGGCTAAACCGAATGTTTCAGCCATCTCCAGACTAGTGAGATATTGACCGTTTAAGCCTACTAGGGCGCGTGCCCCTGGTCGATTGGTTTTCTCTCCGACATGAATCAGTACGAGATTTTGGGGTTTGCTATGAGATTTTTGGCAAGGTTAGCCTGGAATGACCTCCTGTCCCTCCTGACTCTTGCATTGCGCCGGTTCCTGAGTTCCAGGTATGCATCGTGGTCGATCTGACTCTTAGATACGCGCCGCGTGAACCAAGCCTTCCGCTTTGCTTGCAGAATACGTTGCGTGCCTCTCTTTAACCATGAAAACTTTCTTTCTGGCTGTGTTGTGATTAAAGGGAAGGTATCCGAGATTACAGAATGAATAATCTTTTTACCACCTCCCAGTGTTCATCCACAGATAGCTCATCCCATGCTAAGGGCCAGTCTGCGTCGGACAAGAGCCTCCGCATTTCAGCATAGTCAGCCTTGTTATGATACAGACATGGTCGCGCAACGTCCCACTGCAAATGTTCATGGAGAACGAGATCGAAACCTATGACTGCATGGTCACTACTTCCTAGAGGAGTCATGATCTGAACCTTTTCGACGAGTAGTTGGTCACTAGCTAGAACGTAGTCTGGTTTCGATCACTTTCCATCAGGGCCCCACCTGGTGTCGTCTCCGACGTCCTCAGTCAGTCCTGTATTTCGAATGGATTGCAGTAGATTTCAGCCGAATTTTCCCTTAGCATAACCCAAGCCAAGGTTCCGTGATGGGGCATTGAGATCTCCAGCTATGGTGATCTGGTCATAGCTCAAGTCTCGTATCCCTGTGATAGTGC